TGGTAGATACGTTCCACGTTATACGAATTTTGCATTGTAGGAATCCTTAAATACACGAGCCAATCACAGCCCAACACGTGTGCAGTTTAGGGACTACGGCTGTTTGAAAGGTTTTCTTCCATAAAATTAATCAATTCTTGACTAATTCGACTCAACATTTCCAAAACACGTATAATTTTTTGGGAATAATTCGTATAAACAAATGCTATGCTATAAACAAAAAATTGTATGATTACTTACCGAGAGTGCACCGTTTGACATTGCCATTGCTCAAGCTTGTTTTTGTCACGGAGCAGCGCACCAAACTGCAGCCACGATTTCTGATAAGTTATTTTTCTGTGAAAAATTCATTGAACTTTGGAGACATCATTAATATAAATAATTTTTATGGCCATTGAATAAGAAATGTTTCTTTCACAAGAAATGTATAAAATTACAGTGCTGTATTAGACTTACGGTACCTAATTTACATACTGTGCAGACAATAGTAAACTCAACTTACTCGCCTAAACTCTCCGTAGCGTGGCTCTGGATGGCGGAAAGTATATATATATAATTATAATAAAGTTAAAATAAATGAAGTTAATATTGTACAGAAGTTAGTAAACTCAACTTACCTGTCTAAACTCTCCATAGTGTGTAAGTAGTTCGGCTGCTCGTCTACTATTGGTCCAGATTCGACCAATCCTGTCGCGACACAAGTCGGCAATGACATTTTACTGCATTTTACATGTCCCTTTTAGCGTCTTTATACGAATACTGTTGGAATTTTTTGCCACGTTATAGGGGGTCTACTGTATTTGGTTTAACGTGTAATCATATTGAGAAAAATGATTCATCTTACGACATTTTCATGATATGATCTCAGTTTAGGAACGGATTAATTTCGTATCCTGAGGTACCACTGTAATAAAGAGAATGAAACAGAAGAAAAGATTGTTCAGTTTTAAGTTACCCAGCACTCTGCATGCAGCAGAAAATGCATTTCAAACAAGATTTTGAAGACTTGGAAAAAGTATGGATAACAGGATTGAAATATGAAATTTAATTGTAAGAATTTATGTGAAAAGAGAGATGATTCAGTAAATAAAACCCACCAGTTTATGTAACAGATCAGGCTGATTGCACCTTACAGAGAAATTGCTTCATAGGGAAAGAACAATGACAAAGCAGTTTCAATCATAAATGCTACAGCAAGGAATTTTATTAAATATTAGATCTATAAGAATACTATGCCATAAGACAAATTTTTTTTTATTACTTTGTATGTATATTTAATTGAGGAAAGTAAATGACCATATATGATCAAAATGCTTTTTATTTCAAATGACTTAATTACACATTTACTTCATAATTGATGATAATTCTTTTTCTAATTGCACACACTATAACCACAACGATTGTAGATTTGCACAACCTCCAAAACAGCATTACTTTGTTTTATTTCAGTAATGATTCATTGATCTGTTGTTCCAAAGAATGTTTTTCTCTTTAATGAATTTTCATACTTAATTCGGCACAGGTGACAATTCATGAACTAATGCAGTGCAAGTTACACCATTTTCATTGTGCTCTAAAAAAAATACAAGTGCAGTTATTTAACAATATACACTGTTTCATTTAAATACACAAAAAATTACTAACTTATATCAAAACATTAATTTATTAGAGTAAAAGATAATTATGTATTGTGTAACGACCAGAAACAAAAATAACTAGGACTTAACACTTAATTACACAACTATGTGTAAAATATAGTTTGTGAATGCACATAAATATTTTACAATGTCAATCCAAAGAAATGTCTTGTAATAACTTTAATTTATCTTACTGAATTATTACAATTCTAATAATAAATTCAAGAACGTTGTATTATATTTAAAAATGACAGTGTATTATGAAAAGTTAACTTAATAAATATTTTTGATGATTATTATTATAAATTATACACCTTGATACAATTGCTTACATCAACAATATTTTACCTATATCCAATTTAGGTGACTAAACATTTTAACATCACACTATTTCTACTGCAACTCTTTCATTAAGGACACATTTTGGCTGGCCAATGCCCTATAATTAAGTGAACTACCTGGAAAAATTGTACTAAATGCTTCCAAACATATTGAGAAATGCACTGTTTGCTATTTATAAATGTAATATAAAGAAAATTTTCTTCATTAATTACTTTAAAACTAAAATATTCTTTTATACAGCATTGTCTTTATTAAATTACAGTTTTCAACTTTTAAAATAAAATTCTATAGTACTCGAGTGAGTGACACGTATTGGATCATTTGTTACGTTTACATGCTAATGCAAATATAATACAATTGCGATATTGTTTGAGTGCTTTTATTATAATACAGTAGAGCGTCGATTATCCGAAAGTCAATCATCCGAAAGAATTCCAGTCGGCAAATTTAAATTTTCGCCAGTGCTGTGGTGCTTCAATCTTTGGCTATGTCTTGAGCTACTCAAATATTTTACGTTTTTGATACTAAATTAACTTCTGAAGTATAATTTTTTATTGTTTTTATATTTTTCAATATATTTATTTTGTTTGTACAAAATAAAAAGATAATTTTTAACGATACAGTAGTGTTCGTTAGGCTTAACATCGACGAAAATTCAACGCGAAGCGACATGCAACGGAGAAAAATGTCAAGATGGGATAAATTAATATATTTTTTTGTACATGATCGGTTATCCGAAACATCAATCTTCCGAACAACCCCAGTCCCCCATTGATTCGGATAATCGACGCTCTACTGTATTATCATTATATTAATTTGATTTTTACATCATTTATGATTAATGTACGAGTCACAAGAATTACTATTTTTGTTGTGTAGTAGCAACATTTGTAATATATTTGTTTAAAGAATTTTTCATTTAAATACTAAGCATTTATTGATTTAATTATTATGTATTTCCACAATTTTACCTTATTTAAATATTTAATTTTTACCACATTCTTGCTCTCGACATTGGCCATCAAAGATGGATTTGCTTCCTTTCGGTCTACTTAAATCATTGATTCTTTAACTCCGTATATCTCTATTAAACTGTTCATTTCTTTGACAAATTTTCAGTGTGATTTTTCTTGCTTTGATTGCACATTTTGATAATTGCTTCTGCCATATTTTTTTTCTTTGAACTTGTGGTGGACTTTGGGGGAAACCTTGAAGCCACTTAAGTTTGTTTGGGAAAGAGATTTAAGTTGATCTAGTTTTTGGTAGTTAAACCGATTTAATGTTAAGTCTGCTTCATATACATTGCATACTTTAAGCTGTCAGTTAAGCCAACTTAAAAGTTACAGTATGAAAGGGATATTACACTTGATATTTTTGTCATAACATTGAAAACCAGTTTGACAGACACCAAGTTTCAGTAGGTTAATTCTTTTCTTTTTATATGAATGATAAGGTCTTTCTTAAATTGAAAATATCTATTAAAATTGAGCCAATTTTAGTTTTTGTATCATAATAATTTGATTATGCATTGGAAACAGTTAGTTTTTGCGATCAACAAGCACATATTACTAAATATGCGATTCACACATTCTGAATCAGATCTTGTTGAATTTAAAAACAATATAAATTTATTTTCAGTTTAGTTCCTGTTTCTGATGAAGCATTTCTTATGATGTGGGATAAACTATTCATAGAAGCCAACATTCCCCAATTCTAATCTTCATTTTTTGGCTGTTTTACATATTGTAGTCACCAAGAGTTGCTGTAGAGTATGAAGGAGATTAGTCACTTAACACCAGATCTGAATGGCATAAAATGAAGATCTGTGAATTCCTTCTGGAAATCTTGTGGTAGTTCATGTAATTGTGTTGGTACTAAGCAGCCAGGCATTACCGTGCAGAAGCAAAGCACTTTTCGTAAGCAGCCCAAAATGTTTCTGTTTAACAACAGATCTTAACAACTTTGATGTTGTATATAAGCATATATATTAAGTGATGGTTTTATTGTGTGGACTCTTCCAGCACACTCATTTATGGCTACTACATTCAAAATGTGTAGCCATTACTTTCCTAGTAGACTTGATAATCTTGAATGCAAGATCGAAAATACTTTATGCCATGTCTGCATAATGGATTTTCCATGCAAAGACATTAAAAAAAAAAAAAAAATTACTGCACAGACCTCATATGGTAGTTTGACACTGTTTTAATTGCATTGCCACCTTTAACTGCAGTGCAAAGTGATGATTTTCAACACAGTGTTGTCAAATGAGAATAACAAATTGCCCTGTAACAAATCTGATCGGACTAGGATCAGTTGTAACGAATTGTCCCTTTCACAATTATTTATTGCCATGCCAACTGTAATTATTTTATTTTCTTAATTTAAATTCTCGTATATGTTAGTTCATTTAACTTCACAAAAGTTTAATTGAAACATATAAGTTTGAAAAATACAAGCTTGTGTTCATTTATCTCGGGAAGGTATTTGATTAATTATTAAATTACCATCGCAAATAAAACTTATGAACAATTGTATTTACGATTAATTGATAATGGATCAAACGTTATAAATTGCATAGGTATGAATTAAGTTACATTTGGTAGCCATTACAGATTTTTTCACATCCCAACTTGGGAAATGCCACTGTATGGGATCATCTTGATGACCACGGTGCACATTTTTCCAACATCTTAGATTTAAATATTGCAATTATGTAAGCATTTATGTAGTATTCTTTTTCTTTTTTAAATAGTCAGTGAAGTTTTAAGGTATAACTTGTATTGTCGATTGAACATATTCTCTTTTAATGGTAGTGATTTATTCTGATTTTTATGACCAAATTTTTCACATCAAACTTGAAGCCCAAGGTTAAAGGAAGAGAAAAGACAGAATTGATGTTATTTGTGAATTATAAATGAACTTAATAATTGATGAATTCCTAACGTTTTTTGTTTTTAAAATTAATTTTACAGTTTTGAGTTAAATAAAAGCTATCTTAAACATTTACAAAATTTATAGATGCTTTATGAAAGTAGTGACGACGACGTGGAAGATGTAGGATCCGACGGAAGCGAATTGGTAGACGTGGAGGATTTAGGATCGGTGATGAATAAAATGAAGAACATTAAGGTAAGGTATAACTTGTGTATTTTTGTAAATTCAAAAATTCTTAATATAAAGAAATTGCTTTTAAGCCCATGGTATAATAAAAATAATTAAAAATCTACTAATGTGAGGTAGATAATAAGGATTTATCACACCAGTGATATTCCTTGGTATACATATAAAAAAGTTATAATACTTAAAATTATATAAGATAAATGCTCTGCACCTTGTATAAATGCCACCTTCAAACTCCATCTTACTACTGTTTTGTATAACATCATTACCTTATTATTCAGCTAATTTTAATACTTTAAATTAGTAACTCTTACGTCAAACTATCGTATAACATTATGAAGTTGCCTTAAGTCTGTCTTCACTGCACCCATTTAATGTTCTTTAATCATGCCTTTATAACGGTTCCTTTATCTTATATAACTTTAAGTATTATAACTTTTTTATATGTAAACCAACTGAAGAGGGACTATTCCGATAGTCCGAAATGCAATTTGGTTATTTCATGTTAATTACTCGTGTAATCAATTTTAATGTACACCCCTTTTTTGTTTTTATTAAATCTACTCCATTGATACCTGGGTATTTGTGCTTATTATCACTGGTGTGATAAGTCTTTGTTATCTGCCTCACATTAGTAGATTTTTAATTAATTCAAAAATTCTTGTTTGAATAATTGTATATAAGGGTAATATTCAGGTATAAGATTCACATGCAGAATAACAGAACTGTTGTTTTTTGCTTTACTTCTCTTTGAAGTATAGATTTTAATGCATTTTTACCATGAAAAGTATAAATTAAATTATGTTGCACTGCAGAAAACATATGCCCTACTTTGCAGGTTGCAAAGAAGAAAATTTTGGAGGATTCTGGCCCGAAAGAAATGATCACTCCGACATTGCGCAAGGCCCTCACAAAACAGGGTTACAAGTTAATAGGATCTCACTCGGGTGTCAAATTGTGCCGGTGGACCAAGTCGATGCTCCGCGGCCGGGGAGGCTGCTACAAACACACGTTCTACGGCATCGAGAGTCACCGGTGCGTGGAGGCCACGCCCAGTCTTGCCTGTGCAAATAAATGTGTCTTTTGCTGGAGGTAAATTTCCTACTATCGATTATAAGATCATGTGCAATTTTAGTGACATAAATTGAGTTACAAGTTCTGTTGCATTTATCTCATAGTGTTAAATTGGAGTTTATTAGTTTATTTTACACACAATATTTTAAAACATTCTTCGATACTTTTAGTTTTTTCATTTTACAAAGTGGAAATGTTGATGGATTTTATATTTTATTGAGACAAAACCATTTACAATAACTAAAGAAAAAAATAGGATTGAAGAAGTTAATTTTTTTTTTTAGAAAAAAAATTTTACAATGGGAAAGTTGTTTATCAAAAAACAAAGATGATGTAGAATAAAATTTCATTTTCATTCATTTTATAATGGTTAATAAAAAAAATTAAATGGAACCTTGGAATTTATTCTTATGTTTTCCATGTAAATATTTGGTTGTGTGTAAAGTTACAACTATCTGACATGTAAATTGAAGGTTATGTGAGAATCTGGAGTTCAGGGAGATATTTGTTAAAATAATTTTTCTATCAAGTTTAAATTGAATTAATTTTGAAAAATATTATCAGATTTTGACTTTTTATGATTCGTGGAGAATAGCCCGAGTGTGGTATCTCTCTCAACTATCACTTTGGGAGGAACTAAATCGCTATCTGCAAGACCTCCCGACTTCCTCCTCTTGTTGGAAGCATGGCGCAATATTGGATGTAAGGTAGTATAAAAGGTAAAAGGTCACTTTCTGAATTGCTCTTGTTCGATACTTTTTGGTGGTCAAGGCTTTTGCCACTGCTCTTGTTTTGGTACCCTTGGCAGAGTGCCAGAGATATTAGCCATCATTTCTTCAGTTTTCAACTACCAGTTGTTTCTAAAGACTCTCCACTATATATGTAATATAACTGTTCTATGTAAACTTTCTCTCTCTGAATAGATTTACAAGTTTAGAACTAGATAACCTCACACCTTTATATTGTCGAATTTATCATTTATTGTAGTTGTCACTTATTTGTATTTATATTTAGTTATAATTTCATGTAATATATAAATAGTTATACTCTAAACCAGGGGTGTCCAGCCCACGGGCCGCATGCGGCCCAAGGCAAGTTACAATGCAGCCCAATAAATGTGTAAACAAAACCGACAAATGTTTTAATTTATTATTATTTATTTATTTCAACGGCATAAACTCAAAAAAAGTTTCACAAAGCCGTAAACCTTTATTCATATTTTATTTTTGAGTGGAAAGAAAATATTTTCAAATACTTGGAGATGTGTGAATGCGGAATGATTACTAAATAAAGCTGGAGTTGTGACTCAAAGAATTATAGACCCAAATTTGTGGGAAAAAAAACGGAAAGATGAGAAAGGACAAAAGATGTAGTAGTGAGAAACGTTAAATAGATCTTCTGTTAAGCAAATATGAACCCGTAATTTTTCAACCTTTTTCACTTCTTTATCTTTTGTCCTTTGCCTCTTTTTCCCCGCACTTGGGTCTATAATCCTTTGATTCACAACTCCAGCTTTATTTAGTATTTCTTCCAACGTTGCAAGATTTGGCTACATTGGGCCAAATGTGGCTACTTTTTTTTGCTTGACATAAAAAATATCATTTGGCGCTTTGGCTACTTTTTCGGCTACATATTATTTATAATTATATTAATTGAATAAAAATGCACTTTAAAATGGTGTTTCGTCGCTTTTTATTAATTAGAGACCCAAATAAAACAAATATTTGTGTTTTTCAAATAAATTTTCTTTAGTCTCTTTTATAATAAATGAATTTATCTATTTCTAAGTAAAAATTGAAAGTGTCTGTAGAAGTAATTTTTTAAAATATCCTTTTTTCTTGATAAAGTTTTAATACTTATTATTATAATCTAGACATGTTAATTTTTAAATATACTTGTATATTGGGCCACAAGTATATATTATATATACTTGTGGCCCAAAACTCCTTGACTTCTTCCAATGGGGCCCAGAGAAACAAAAAGGTTGGACACCCCTGCTCTAAACTGTCATTAGATTGATTTAATGCCTAACTCCATTGTTGGCTCACATTACCGTTAAATGTTTGAATATAAAACCTCCTAAAATTCCCAGTCAACTATTTTTATCTTTGACCACTCGGAAGATAAATTAATTTCAGCACGCCTTAGTCTGCGAACTGACTAGGAAAGATTTTTACGAATCTTCCTTTCCCATATTTGGAAAGGAATAACCCACAATCTCCCATTCTCACAGTTATGTGTACTTTGAATAGTTTTCTCTTTGTAATTTTAAACACACAGATCTGAAGATGGGACAGTTTGGCCCCCAAAAAAGTATAATCTTAATAGAATACATGAAGGAGTCAGTGTTTATTTATCAGTTTTCTTCGTAGTTCTTCTGGTGGAGTCATACGATATGCATAATAGAAATAAACTACATAATTATGTCCAGCATGTATCGTAAACGTTTATATATTTATTAATTTAAATAAAGATTATACATATCAAATAGGAGAAAAAAGAACATTTTAAAGTTAATATTTTAATTTTTTCAAGATATATAAATTAAATTATTTTTGTTTTTTAAATTAAGGCATCATTCCAATCCCGTCGGAACCGAGTGGAAATGGAAAATGGACAATCCGGAACTAATATTCCAGGAAGCTTTGAAAAATCATTATCGGATGATCAAAGAATTTAAGGGTTTGTGTCTGGCTTAGAGTTGTACCTGTTATAACTTTATAAATATTTGATTTTTATTTTGAAAATTAACAATTTATAGATATTTCTTTTTTCATCTATTATTATAGTAGAAAGAAGAAATGCATTTTACAGCTTCCTTTGTTTTGTCATTCATTTGGAAATAAACAATTAATACTTTTTTATTTTTATTATTTAAAAAGGTGTACCTGGTGTAAAGGAAGAGAGGTTTAAAGAAGGAATGGAAGCTAAACATTGTGCATTATCACTCGTTGGAGAACCCATAATGTATCCGGAGATAAACAAGTTTGTCCGACTTCTTCACGGTCGTGGAATCTCTACCTTTCTCGTCACCAATGCACAGTTTCCGGATGCCATATCAAAATTAGATCCGGTGACCCAACTGTACGTTTCGGTAGACGCCGCCAGTAAAGACAGCTTGAAGAAAATTGACCGTCCGCTATTTAGAGACTTTTGGACAAGATTTCTAGATAGTCTAAAAGCTTTGTCTGACAAGGTAGGTTGAGTTTATTTCCACTCCAGTTTTTAGATTATATTTTAATTTATAAAATCTTCTCTCAGCAGCATATAATTCTTGTTTACAACAATTTTTTTACTTTATATTAGCTAGAATAAGTTATAAACAAACTTATTGACTTTTCTTCATAATATTTCAATTAAATCAAACAGAAATGAGAAAAATTTTAATTCTAGAACTATTGAAACCTACACAAAAGCACCATTCACGTGTTTGGCATAATTAGTTAAGGGGTTGCGTGAAGAGCATTACTATACAGGTTCAAATCCTCGTACAATACAATTATAAATGCAAAAAAATTAACCTTATTGTTATTAAACTTCTTATGTACAATTTTTATGCCATTTTTAATTATCGAATTTAAAATTTATTATTATTTATAAAATATCAGGAAATTCAAAAATTCTTTTTCAACAATTTAAAGCTTTTGCCACAAAAATTTACATGCAATAAATACTTACAATTACTGTTGCATAAGAATATGACATTTTGGGCAGTATTTATTATAAAACATTAAAACATAATGGTTCAATGCACCACACACAAATAATCATTCGTACAATCTTTACATTTTGTTTTGATAACAGACACGTGAACTGTGCTTCTGCGTACTTAATAGTTATAGAAAAACTTCGATTGTGATTTTCTTAAGAATGCCTGAATAGTGGGTCCTGCAGCGTTTAAGCAACAGTAAATACTATACATCCATGAAGTTTTGTTGAAATCAGTGATGACAACCACCCAGGCTTCCCTTGTTAGAATACTAGTCTTACAGATCACAAATAATGAATCTATAATTATTGTGAGATCCACCAGGACGTAGAACTAAGTTTACACCACTTACTGGCCTATTCCGTGAGAATAGTTCTCTAAAGTTTCGAATCGCGAGATCTGATCTTAAATCTTCATAGGAGGGCTGTAATATTCAGGCTTAATGAGGATTAAAGACTGTGAAGTCTCTATCACAACGTCAGGTTCCCGACACCAGTTTATCTACTTGCGTAACGCGGATAAACACGCGTGAAATTTATGCTGTAGATCCTATTCAAGAAATAATAATAATGAGACATCCTTTAACAAATAAACAAGAATAAATTTAATCAATCATATATATATTTGTGACTATACACTAATGGATTAATACCATTATAATAAGCAAACGAATGAGAGACAATTAATTCAAATCACAATATATAAATATAAGTCGAGAGATATAAGAACTTATCCTTTAACCGATACACAATTGAGAGAGAGAGCTTACAATATCGCTATTAAACATACAACCTGGTTTAGTTGTCACTCATCATCTTCATCGGTTGGCAAAGGCGCTTCGTTTATAAAGTTCTCAAACTTCATTCCATGGGAGATTGAGATGTGCACAATACTAAAGTATATCTTCTAAGCGCTAACTCTGGATTTATTCTCTGTGATTCGACTAAGGGCGTTGGCCATCAGGAGCTTGTTCGGACTTCGTCTTAATGCTCGGGGGTCTGTTGACGAACTCCTAAGGGCAGTGTGGAACCAATATGGAGACTTCTTTCTACTATCAGATCTCCTGATGAACTCCTAAGGGAGCTGGGGAGCCAGTATGGGAGACGTCTCTCCTCTATGAGATTTCTGACAAACTCCCCAAATTCGGTTGAACATGCCATATATCTTCTCATCTACGACCAATTATCAGTCGAGGCAATATCCACGTGAACGGATGGGAAGGGGATGAAATGAAGGGTAAGCAGTTCCCACCGAAGCGAGATTTTTGGCAGATAAGGGAAAAACAGAGGATGTTCTAACTTCCCTGGAAGGAAGTGACTCTCCTAGCTGTTTTCCCACACTAAAAAACGTTATTTTTCCATCCCAAATGAAAGAATATTTTATGACAAAACTTTAACATTATTTTTAAATTATTAATTTAGACCCGGGGGCTATTCGGATCTCACATTATATATATTGTGCAATATAATTATGTTGCCAAATTAAACAATTAGGATGATTTTTACATGAAACATACAAACATCCAAGTAATAATTCCTTCTTATTTTTGTTAATTTATTTTTGTACATAGTAAGTTAGAATAACAAATGATCCAATTGAAAGCACAAAAACTAGTTCTGTTCTTTTTAATGTAAACCACTAATTCAAAAACAAGGAAAAATGGAATTTGCTCTTTCCACAGTTCTAGAATGAAATGGTTGTACTAGTCTCTCTTGTAGTCAAATAGTTTTTGAAGTTATGCGATAGGAAATAGATATCATCTCTCCTTGACGTGCATTGTAACTCCATCATATCGTAAGTCAAAAATGTAAGTAAATAAATAGGCTATATACAAGATTACAATACATAATGCAAATTTGGGCTGTCATTGATTGTAATAGCCCAAACTCATGAGCAATTGACATAGCTGCCATTTTTACATATTATCTGAATTTTCTCATTGAGAATAAGCTTCTTCTTCTTCTTCTTTTCACCAGTAGCAGAATACACAGTGGAGTGCTTCGCAGACACAATGGATATACTGTAAAACATAAGTAGATATAAGATGGTATATATTTTTTAAAAATGTCTCAAGAAAGATCATTAACACATCATTAGAACAGCTCAAATTCAAATTTTAACCATTTTTCCATGCCTCCGTTTCACTTGCATTGATCATTGTAAGTGCAAAACATAAGTTGAGGCACATCTGTATTGAGAATGAAGTATTCCCCATTTTCTTTTATTTCAACATAATTGTTCATGTGTTGTGATACATGTTTTCAGATAAGTGCATTCAGTGCACTTATCTAAAAACCTGCATCATAACACATCACAGTGGGTTCACTACTTTGTATATTTTCACATAACTGTACTTATGGATAGATAAATAGGTTGTTTGTGAATGTTTGGCAGAGTTATTCAAACAGACTAAAAATGAGTTACATTTTTCTCCATAAGGAATGATTCAAATACAGTAGTCTCTCTCTATAGTCTGTCACGTCCAGTAATCCAACACTCTGTAGGACAGCTCTCAAATGAAACAGGAATATAAAATCCTGTTTCATTTGAGATGTTCACTGTGACAAAACAGTTGGTAATTATTATTATTTAGACAAATTATTCAAAATAAAGCCTTTTTTTTATTTTGTTGAATTATTGAAAAGGAAAAAAACAAGCTGTTGAATTTGGTGCATGCAATTAAGTGATATTATTGATATGATGCACCGATAGAGATTTTGACTTTCTCTTCTGCATTTTTTGAAAGTCCAATGAAGCATTTAAAGAGTCAATTGAAATATGTAACACTTATGTTTTCGTTATACATTTATACTTTAATAATAGAAATAAGAGGAATTAAATTTTGCATCGGGCACTTAATTTAGAAATTGCCTTACCCGAAAAAAATTGTATTCACATTAATAGACAAATGTAAATATCAGTAAGTTTTTTACTGATGTGTAATTATCATTTATACATATCCAACATAGTATGTTTGACCGATTAAATTAGCTATAAATTTATTAATGTGCTTATTTATATAAAATTTTATTTGAAAGAATTAGCAAGTATTTTATTAATCTTATTTTACTATGCTGTTTAAAAAAAAGAAGGTGACTACAAATTTTTGTTGGATATAATATATTGTTTCACATTTGTTGCTGTTGGCTAAAATTATTAAAAAAAATCACATGATGTCTGATAAAAATTATTTAATGTTTATTATACTTAGTTGTAGAACTAATTTAAACGATTTTTACAACATTTAAAATCAGTTTAATAAATTATTTATAAGTATAATTGAAATTGTAGGGTCAAAGAACAGTGTATAGATTAACATTGGTCAAAGCATGGAATACAGAAGAAATTGAAGGATATGCAAAATTAATAGAACTGGGACGGCCGGATTTTATCGAAATCAAGGTGAGTATTGTATTCTTTTTATCACAGTTTCTATTATGTGAGAAAATATTGCTGTATTGGTTGTATTTATTAATGTGATTGTATTAAATATTTAATATTTAATAATTTTTAATTATGTAAAATAAGAAATGCATTAATAATAATAATCTTCTGGGAACGTATTTGCTAATTTGAGTGGATTAACATTTCCAAGATATTTTATCATAACTAAAATGCAAATTCCTGCCTTTTGTTTAAACAAAATTAAATACTTTACTGCACAACCTAAATGCAATTCAGGAATGCTTGAATCTGTGGTTAGTTTTAGGTTAGAAGTGATATCATGTGCAAATGATCCATTTAATATTTCAAAATGCACTTAAAAGGTAATGGTAATATAGTTTATATTTTGTGCTCAACTGAATTAAATATTAAAACTTACAAAGTTAGCCACTAAAAGTATCCACCCAAACTTCAAGATTGAATACCTCCAAGAGTTGCACTCATTCAATCGACCAAGTCTACATTCTTCTGGGTGAAACAAAATGATCATTTTTCTCAAACTTTCTTGTGATATGAAGATAGTAAGTGAAAGATATGGAGGTCTACAGAATATATAAAAAACAAACTGGAGAGATTTATCTAAATGTAAGCCACTGGTTGAAAACTCAGTGCATTAACCTCTGAAAGATACATGAATGTTCTCCAATCCATATGTGAGAAACTGGGAGCTATAGGAGGATCCCTATAAACCACTTAATTGGCTACATTCTGGCAAAGACTGCTCATGTTGTCATCGGATGGCTTTTAAAGATGTAAAGCCCAAAGATTGCAAGATCTTTATCCTAACTGGTGTCAGCATCCTGACAGGACAAAGTTTAAAATAATTTAAGTTGCGTCCTAACTCGCAGTTCTTAAGTGCTATTTAAGAATAGGAGGGTCTTTAAATTGAGTGGGAAGTGAGTGTGGTTGTTAATAGGTGTTCGGTTTCCAAGTAATAGACAGGGTTTAACGGACAATCAAACAGTTTATTATACATCTAAATATAATGAATACATGATAATTATACAATAAGAGGTTAAATGTAGTTAAATACAAAATCTTACAAGGCGGCAACTAAAATTCCTATGCCACGTGGGATGTGCCTAATGATGCGAAGAAAGGGAGCTTACAAATATCTACTGATACCTTGTAGATGCAGAATGACGGTGTCTATTCAACGTCTTCTCAGAGACATTCGCCCGGATATGGAGCCTGATATTTGTCTTCTCGGCGAGCAGAGCTTCCTATGTATGTCTGTCTTAGATATGGCATCTTGGGGAAGTTCGTATGGCCGGAAGGGCCTCGACTTCCTCTGGACAGAATGCTTTTCTGTGTGACAAACTGTACATCTATATGACAACCACGCAGAACTTCGGGTGTCTCCACCTTTTATATGAATGATGTGGGAATCTCGTCACGTGATCTTCGGTTGTTTAGACCACGCAGGTTACGTTTGCAGGTGTGCGAGCTCGTCAATGATTTGTGTTGAAGTAATCAAGCCGCTTTTGCAACTGACTGTTAACTTTCCCATGTTTGTTGATAGTTGAGCTGTCATTTAATCCGAGTCAATGCAATGTTTTTTCTAACTATCACAACAGATGTTTACTGAAAATTTCACATAAAATCAATTTTTCAGTATATATGAGAAAATTTTCTCATATTAAACACTTACTGGAAATAATTTAAGGTTTCTTTGCAGGTTGTAATCTGTTTATAGTACATTATTACTAGGAAATTACAGCTCTTTCTCTTAAGAGCTGTAATTTCAATGTACTGATTATGTAGAATAATTTTAAAGTTTCAATCACATATTCTACATAATCAAGAACCCCTGCTGAATTGTAACCACATGGTAGATGTATAACAATTATTACAAATACAAACAAAACTTTAAGCTTCAGAATTGAAAAATTCAGAATTGTATTCTTCTGATATCAATTTAACAACAACGACTAGACATTACATATTTGTTTTCATTTAGGGAGTGACATATTGTGGAACATCGAAAGCAAGTACTTTGACGATGGAAAACGTTCCCTGGCACGAAGAAGTTTTAACTTTTGTGCAATCTTTAGTAAATATTATTCCTAATTATGCTATAGCTGCAGAGCACGAACATTCAAATTGTGTTTTAATAGCACACGAAAAGGTAAGACAAATATTGTTTTATATATACACACTTCTTTTTTTCAATTTACTGAAAATGACGAGAATTGATGGGTATTTTTATTTTCTGTACTTATATGAGTCTTTCTTTAATAGAATAACACTTCTGGAGGGAACTTTTTACTTTTCAATTACCTATTGTATAGTTTATGACGACTAAACGCCTAAATTTTTTCAGATCTTGTCACTCATTAACATGAAATATTTGAGTAGAAACAGACTTCTTACAGGAAAATAGATTTAGTACAATCAAAAGAAAACATTGATCACATTACTAGAAACAATAATTGCTTATGAAAATATTTCACATTGATTGTATAGACAGGTTCAAAACTTGTTAAAAACCACAGATCACAAAAAAAAACACATTCTTACAATGATATTTTGTATAGATCTGTCCATGGAGTGTAGTACAAATTGACTCACACAAATAGGATTGAACAACTGTAGGTAGTTCTGCAACATTATGCCAAAAACAATTTATATTTTCAATGTAAATCTTCCAAACACTATATGGAGTGATTTTAACTCTCAATGCCTAACTAATTTTTCTGGTAAAATAAATACTCATTATTTCCTTTCAACCATACAATATTCTTATAAGAAGTCTTCTTCTTTCAAAAATTTTGTGTCATTCACTGAATACATGGTAGTTAGTGGTGAAAAAACTCTCTCCAAATACAAATTTGTTTTTCAAATAATCAAAAGGTTCACAGCTGTAGAGAATCCAGCCTGCATTCACAGATTCCCTCCCACCAAATTGAAATTGTTTTTTTTTTAAGAAATCTGACTAACTTTAATCACACTTGATCATATACTGTAGAAACTCAATCCTATGCAGTTACCAAGACTCTTCTTATCCTTCCTTGCCCACCCTTGTTTATTACTTTTACGACTGCTTTTGAAGAGATTGGATATGAGCTGACAAGACTGCAGTCGGGAGAGTAGGTCCAGTATCACTCACTACACCTCCCACTGAAAGATAAGTATTAGGCTGGTAACCCAAACATGAATCTGAACTAAACTCCCAAAGAACTAGGGTAGATATTTGTAGAAGCTCAATTCTATTATAATGTTCATAGACACAATACACAATTTTTTTTTTCTTTTTTTTACATCAATCAAATTATTCTTGCAATTCTTCTGCAAGATAGTTTATGTTCTTTTGTGAATCTTTATTTCAATGAGATTGTTGCACCACCTGAGCAATGTCAAATGGTCTGATTTTAGGTTTGAAAGAAATGTCTTTGCATTCTGAATTTATTTTATCGGCAGAGTAGTGAGGAGCGGAAATGATACACAGAACATTCTCCATCAGTTTAGTGGGGTTGGAGGTAGAGAAACCCATTTCATTCACCAAATTAGATGTTGGATGAGGGATGAAATTGCAGCTGGGTGATAAATACAGTAGGGGTTGGTACATATAAAGTGATGGAGGCTGATGACGATTTGGCAATTAAGGAAGGTAGACTTCGCAGGGTTGTTGATTTCAGTAGAGAGAAACTGATTGAACTCTCTGAAACCACAGCATCCAGTCTGGGCATTTTGCTGGTGGAGACTTCATCTGCATGATGAGTCTTATGGTGGTTTCTTTACTGCCATCCTTGATCTCCAGTGTAGTCTTCAATGATTGTGGTCATGTCTGTGTTTAGAGGAGACCAGGTGACTTTTGCAGTCATCCCTCTTTTCTCAAGTAGAAGTTCGTTCTTTCTCTTTTTCTAGCTCCTTCTCCTGCAAAGATTCCTTTTTTTGCTCTTTGTTTAATTTGTGCAACATCTTTCTTCTTGGGTATGGTGAACAGTGTAGTTGTGGCAAGAGGAACCAAACTTTTGGGATTGTGCCCCATAAGTGAGAAGGCTGAAACAATCCCGGAACAGTCATCTCTCTGGCGGTCCTCTCCTAAGGTAGCGCAATAGGGATTGATGGCAGCAAAATGGACATCAACCAGGTTTGGCCATGTGTTTGCTTTCGTCCCCTACCTCTGTAGTGGTGCTCCAACAGAGACTCATCTCTTACTCCTTTCCCAGGGAGCACATTCTCTGTATCTCCCTCATCACTTTCAGTGATATACTCTCCTTCAATCTTATGATTCTTTCTCTTTTGATGTTCAGGTTTTGTCTACATCTGTGCCTCCATAGTTAGCAGCTGATAATTTCCATTCCTGTGCGAAGTTTTTATTCTCTTCTTTCACCATTTTGTAAATACCCGGTGATATGAGACAAGGGGCCTTTAGTTTCTTGGTCAGTGCCACCATAACTTTTACAGGGGATAATAAATTTTGATTGCAGTGGTCTTTAACAGCCATAATGACCTTTACTATCTGTGCCTTAGTTTCTACTCAGAAGTATCGTCCCCAGTCTCCGAATCTATGATAGCTTTGGTATTTGCCCATCTATGTTTACTGTAATGTATTATAGGGGTTGAATGTTAACAAATTATTTTGAATGACTACTTGTTTTACCCTCAAAGCATTCTAACCGTATGTTTGGAGACAAAACGACAGCACAATAGTGTCATTCTAGCGATGATCATTGAGTGTGATTATTGTTTATGGACAGATTCTTTATCCTCTGTGAACAGAATTTAGAAATATGTTGAGTTGATCTACAGATAAAGCACTCCTTCCTTTTCATTTCCTGGCAATAGTTAGATTCATTTTTTGTCCCTCATCTCTCGGTGGGGGACATACTTCTTACTAGTACTCTGAAGTTCTGAAAGGTGTCACAATCTTTGCAAATGTTTCAGTTAGTGATTTTCCTTTTGAAATATAGATTGCACTCTCTTGCCATGTCAATAGGGTTAAACCAGCCCTCCCCCTGATGAACGATTATATGAGCCACCATGTCAGCATCCAACGTCTGGAATAATTTTTCCGACACAGTTATTTTAAAGTTTCAAGATCCTTCACTCTCCTCAACTCTAATATATAATATTGGCTTGGAAATATTATAGTCTCAGCATAAATTGCAGAAGAGTCTTAGACTTTAGGCTCTGTATATCTCTTTGGAAATTTTCTAGGCAGCATTGAGCTGATGGTTCATATTCTCATTTCTTAACGCTTACATAATTAATTTATATAACCGTAGACAAGTTAAGGTGTAAAACCTTAACTTGTCTACGGTTACATAAATTAATTTTTAACTTTACCACATACTGGGTTGAATATATGACATGAGATCGACTTACTTTAACTGTTATAAATAACCAGAGTGCTTATATTCGATAACTGCAAATGTTTTTGAAGCCCCTTCTAGGCTCTTCTGGCTTCTACCCTCATTCCATTCAATTCGGGACACAACACGCTCATGCATTTCAATATTTAAAAGTATTGAAGTGCATGAGCGTGTTGTGTTCGAATACTAACAGCCAGCTTGAATGGAATGAGGGTAGAAGCCAGAAGAGCAGCCCAGAAGGGGCTTCAAAAACATTTGCAGTTATCGAGCATAAGCACTCCGGTTATTTAGTTAAAGTAAGTCAATCTTGTGTCATATATATAAATTAAAATGTTTATGGTCTTCTCCCCAGAATATTAATCAGTATCTCCACTGGTACATTCTTTGATTGGAATGCTCACTCTACAGATAAGAAAAATAGGTTCCTATTTTTAGGCTGGTAGCTTTAATGTTTTCACACTTTTAATTAATTTCTCAGTACTCATATCAGGCCTATCACCAGGTTGGCTGTCTGCAAGGTTACTTGTCCTGCTTTGATTATTAGTTATTGATAATCTACGCTAGCTTTCCCTCTCCCTTTCAGCAACAGTTGAGATCAGAATTCGAGTCATTATAATAAAAAGTGACAATTTTATTAAAGTTCCCTTAACTCATTCATACCTTCAGATCATTGTCTATTGTGCCACGAAGCTCTTCCGCCACAATCCATAGATCTTCCTTTTTAACTCCCTTTACGCTTAGCATTCTGCCATGAGATTTCCACTGCAACAAAGTAAAGAAAAAATATTATTTTCTTACCTCTTCTGCAGTTTAAAACCTGTATATTCCTCAAAAAGTCTTTGGGGTAATCTCTTCATAATATGGTACAGTACTATGCTTTGTGCCATGACCCACTATCCACTCTTCTTATTCTGGATCGTAAGCACTCTTTTCATCAATCAAATCTTATTGATCTAGCTTCACTATTCTGTCAGCTGCACCAATGTAGAGAATCCAGCCTGCCGGTTCATTGTACCAAATTGAAATAGTCAAATATCTTAACAAAAAAAAACAAATTTTAATCATTTAATAAATATACAAAAAATATAGAGTAAAAAAACCTTTGCTATCATTTGTTTTAAATTTTAATCACATATGGTAGAGACTCTTATCCTTACCTGTCCACTTTCAAACTTCACTAACTCTACTGTCCCCCTCTCCCCTCTTTGTCTATCCTTATTTATTACTAAGGGTTGTAAAAAGGGAGAAAGATTGGATTTGGGCAACAAAACCACAGTCAGCGGGGTAGGTCCAATATCACAACAACAGCAATTGCACTAAACAATGATACATTTTGAGGAGAGTAGATAGAAAAGATAAGAAAACATACAACTTTCAAATAGGTAGTCAGAAATGTCTCTATAAACCACTGCATAACTAGGACATTGCATGACTTTGTTGTATTGCAATAGAAATGAATTAGAGCCAGAAGGAAAGAAGCAGTCCCTGTACAATACTTGACAGACATGGACAAGTGAACTTTGCACTTGCCGCCACAAAAGACGCTATCCTTGAATCTGCAGAGTATGGAGAGACGATCCAAGAATAAAGCAATCACCATCAATTGCTTTGTTCATTTTTTACTCCTAGGCCTAAATTCTGTTAGGTTCACTCATTGCATCAGAGAGCATGGATGTTAAGAGTTGTGATATGAGGTACTATACATTGTTTTACAGTGACAGAATGTTTGTACTTTCTAGTGCTTCTGGTGGAACAGGGTCAAAGATACTATCTTAATCATAGGCAGTAGGGCACCCAGTAATCAATGAGGTGTCTGAACATTTAAATTCAGACCAAGTTATATGCTTGGGCTCTGGCAATACAACCCAATAGGGACCAACCTTCCTTGCTCTCATGTCCAGCTCTCTAACATTGGCGTACAACTCTAAGCTGTTTGACATGCTAAACCAAAAACTGAGTCATGCTTAACTTGTTGAGCTGCAGGACCTCTTCTACTCACTATGCATGGTTGCTGTGTGGCTGATCACTGCTTCCTCTGTCTTTGAGGTGATCTTGTCAATCTGTTCTAGGCATAAGTCGAATGCTAGATCGATGATCTCCTTGGCCCTTTCAAGAACAATTGGCCGCAATCCCAACTTTGAGGCCTGCTTCTTGGTCATGGTGCCAGCCAGATACACCATGTCCTCCCTCTTAGGGAGTCGTCAGGTCCTAAACATCCATTAGCTCGGGATTCTCTACTTTGCATTGCTGAGAGATGAGTCACATGCACTAACTCTCTTTGTTCAGCCATCATTAAATAAAAATTTATTTAATGATAGAGGATCCAAAGATCCTGGTTTTGGTTCTGGCTAAGTAAGAAGGATTTGAGGTTACTTCCAATCTTCCATGGGTGCCCCACATCATTTTGAGAATCAGAGTATGCAAGAGCCTCCCCACATCTGGTTTGGCCCGCTGCCAGGACAGCTAACCACTTAAATGGCTACCTTCCCAGGGTCATCCCAGCCCTGCTGGGTGCTTGGTTTGGGCTGCCGCTTCATCCCTACTAGGATGCTTTCTTCCCATTTCTGGTACTCTGGGGTTGTTATGGCCCATCTAGCACATAATGGATCTTTTCCCCTCAAGACATAAGGAAGTTGGCTCTATCCCCCTGGCCACCAGCAAGGCTTTGGCAATGGGAGTATGACTCCTCGCCTCACTGACTTTAGCCAGCACCAGCTGTGCAAAGTCCTGTCTTCCTAGAAAACTGCTTCTCTTTTACCATGTAAAAAGTATTTAAGATGGTCCATGCTACCATGAGCTTTGGCAAGATCAACTACATTTGTCCACTTGTAATGCGTTCAACCATCGACCTTGTGCCACCAAGGAGAATTGGGAGTTCATGAGAGCGTATCTTGAGTTCTAGAGGATAAGGATTGTCAGGTCCATAGCCTCCAGTTCTTGTACCGAAACAGTGTTTGAATCCAAGAGGTCCAATGTTCCAGCATCCCCAGACCTACAGAGGACACCGGGAACTTCACCAGTGAGTATGGCAGGGGGGCATCTTGCTGCCAATGAGGGCAGAGGAACTCCGGCCACACTAGTGTGACAGGGATCCCTACCATATTTCAACTGTGCCCATCAGGTGAGGCCTCACAAGGGGCACCTGCTGGTGCTTTACTCCTTATTGGCAGGGCTACTAACTTGTGTCAGACAAGCACAAACAATTACACTCCTCTTCAGACAAGGTAAAGTGAAGACCTCCCTAGGAATCCTGTTCATAGCAGCTGCAATAGCTGCCTCCTGAGGGACCATTTTGGCCCTCTAATTTCAGCAATAAGTCTCCCTTCTGTTATCATGTGAGTCTGCATGGCCCATCATACTCTGACATAACTGGAAACTTAGGCTCAAGTCTCTAGACTTCATCAATAGCCAGAATCAGAACAGGATCTTTGGATCCTCTAACCAGCCACTAGGCCCCCACCAAGGCCAGTTCCTTACTTTGTTATATAACAGAGGGAAAGTAAAAATAGGAGTCTGTGACTTTCGGGGGCTTTATATATTGAAAACAAAACTGGGAAAGTATGGCGATCAATCAAAAATGATCCCCCTCTCCATGATTTTTACATTTTTGGACTCAGGACATTAAAACATCTGGAAATACAGAAAAAACTGGATTTTTTTGCATGTATGGATGTTAATATGTGGCATGATTTTGTTTACTTTCTGAAGCTTAATAACTCCTGTGCTTTTGAAAATTTCTGAAATTTTGCAGGAAGGTTTGTGTATTAGAAATATTCATGCTTGTAAATCTTCGTCCGATGGTTATAATTATTATTAATTTTTTGAAGACAAAGTCCTTCCCAAAAAATAGGAACCACCATTTATTAACTGTGTTCCAGACATTACACTTTTGGCGACATAAACTGGATATATATTCTCTTTTAGGCGACAAGTAGCCTAAAAGAGAAGGTCAGTCGCCAAAAGTGTAATGTCTGGAACACAGTTAATAAATGGTGGTTCCTATTTTTTGGGAAGGACTTTGTCTTCAAAAAATTAATATTCATGCTATTAAATTTTAGTTGTTTAAGGTCGATGGGATGGGGAGATAAAAGGGTTATGTATATCTCCAGTAGGGTTGGACTTAATGGTGATTTTACTCATTATTAGCATTTACAATTTTTTTAACACCCATCCCTACTTTCAAAATTAAGCTTTTTGCCATTTTATAATAATTTAATATTGTAACAGATTATGCCACTCATGCAGTTTTAAATGTTGCCAGGAAAGTTAAAAAATCCTGCAAGAAATTGCTTATGTTTAAAATGGACCCACATTACATACATGAGGAGACTCTTAATGCCTTTTTGTAGAGTTATTCTCCTCGTGTATGTACAATTGTCGAAGTGATATCCACCCTACATATATACATTGCCATTTTTCATTGAAACAAGAAACCCAGAAATGTAAAGTTTTATTAAAATCAATCCATTAAATTTTAAGAACAAACTCAATTCTATAACAAATTATTATTTCAGCAATCCAATTGTGCTGTTTTTTCCAAAACTTATCACAATGACTTCTGTATGTTATAAGTTTGGGAAAAAACAGCACTATTGGATTGCTGAAATAATAATTTGATACAGAGCCAAAGAAGAAGCTAAATGAAGAATAAAAGAAAATTGATTCTATGAGCCCATACAAGATGTGCTAGACACCATGAAACATTGCATGACTTTGTCATGCATGCTTGTGAAAAGATCTTATATCTTGAAAATGAAGTCATGGATTCCCATTTTTTTTATTGCATTTTTGGATTCTGGAACACAATTAATGGAAAATTGTAGAGTTTAATCAAAATCTATCAAATGGATTTTGAGAACGAGTACAATTCTGTAAGACTCGTAGAAGAAGTTTCACTAATGCTCTGCTTCAACAAGGATGCAATAAGAAAAAGCTTGCATGTTACATTTATTTACACTGCAAATAATATGTTGACATTTGAATTATGTGAATAGTTACCAACTACTACTCAATGTATTTAATTTCATACCATAATTTCTAGATAATGAAAACTTGACAGAATAATGTTATGTTTGTTAAAAAATATAAATACAGTTTAGTCATTAATATAATAAGACCACTACATTCTTTTAGTTTTTTCAAAACTAATAATGTTTAATGGGCAATTATTTGTTGTATTTACTTTGTTCAAAACTTGAACTAATTGTTAAGAATAATAATCAACAATCTTAATACATTTTAGTTAATAAGACTAATAACAGTGAAAATTAAACACTAAGTGCAAACATTTATGCCCATGTTAAATGGGCGTCGTCAGGCAAGCAAACTGCTGCAAAAAACACTGGGGTTGCTGAACACGTGTGAAGGGGTGGGGTGTATGACGTAAGGAGAGGAGAGGGGGTTTACTGTTCGTACAACGACTTCCATGCAGAGGGGAAGGAGTCAACATCTCAAAAATTTATAGCTGCATAATAGTGGGTGGTCTTGTAAATTTCACCTCTTCTAGATGTTTCAGCACATGTAGTTTGGATTTGTAATATAGGAGGTCCACTTGGATGCCAGGAACGAATGAATATGTGGTCAAAGCTGTATTGTTTAAGCCTTTTTTGACAGATGTTTGATGTTCTTGAGACAGATGTGTATTGTAGGTGGAGGTTGTATCGATGGTCAATGATGGGGATGCGATAGATACCTGGGAGATGGTCCTTAGCATTACAGAGTAGAGAGGAGATAGCATGAGGAAACAATTATCGTTTGGCGTTCCACAGGAGGCTGGCTATTCTCACTGGTATTTTAGGTATTTGAAGAGTTCATTTTTATCTGATAATAACAGTGAAAATTTGACTTTATAAGACCACAATGAAAACAAATATGGTATCGATTCTACCAATTTTTTCAGTAGATGATTGTCAATATTATACCATTGGTGCACAATTTCACATTCAATTTCTTGAACATTTGAAACTGACTTAAAAATCCCTGTGAAAACTTTTGGGGGATTTTAAGTCAGTACTTCTAGATAGCCAGGGTAAAACATTATTTTCTTTGTATTAAACCAGTTTTGAGTTATGGCATGTGGCATTGTCTTGTTGGCAGATCACATTTTAGAGGAAGAAAATAGTACTAAGTGGGGAGCAAATGTTTTCCAATAACAGTTAATTTTCAGATTTTAATTAATGTTATTAACTTTAACAAGAACAAGGTTAGCATCATAACAGAGCCTCCATCCACTTGTCTACTAAAAAATGCCTTTTGTGCTTTGCACAAATCATTCCAATATGCATTAATCCCATCTGGGCTATCAAGATTAATCACTCAGCAGTGAGTGACGAATTTAGTCAAATTCTTTTGGGGGTATCGCCAAAAACTAGCATAAAACTACCGCAAAAAAAAATTGTGGAGAATAAATGTGGGAAATTTTTAAAGTATTTTTCCACGCATTTTTTCTCATTACTGTTTTGGAAAAAGATTTTGTAGACAGTTATATAACAATAAAAAAAAGACTTTTCTTTACTAGTTACATAACTGTTTACAGAATCTTTATCCAAAACAGTAATGAGAAAAAATGCATGGAAAAATACTTTAAAAATTTCCCATGTTTATTCTCCACTACTGGGGCAGAACCATACCCTACTAGTCCACTGTTAAAAGGTTAAATTTCTTTTTGTCTGAAAACACCATATTGGTCCAGGATATATACTTCTTGGCCCATTCTAATCTTGCTTGTTTATGTGCTTGTTAAAACTAAAGAGCAAGTCCAAATTATGTAATTTGCATTCTTGTTTTTCTTTAATATTTTCCAAACAATTAATGGGAAAACTTTTGCTCTAATTTCACATTAAATCTCTCTTGTAGACATGTTACATTGAGTTGCCAGACCAAAACACACCTATAATAATGTAAGGATTTTTTTTTCTATATGACAAATTGCTGTTTTGGTCCTATTAGAGACCAGCTATGGCCCCTTCTGGGTAACCAGCACCACCATAATAATATATATTTTGGCTTTTTTTTCTCCTCTCAATTCACTTCCTCCTGGCATGGTATTTAACCACAACTACTTAAAAATACCATTAAAATTGTCAGTTTTCTATGATGTCACATGACATCATGGATAATAGAAATTTTTCTTGAAGGAAGGGATTAAACGATTTTCTCATGATGATCTTATATTTTGACTTTAACACATTTTAGTTATCGGTTTTATAAATCAAGTTTTGAACAATTTGAATCAATACTGTTGAACAGTTTTATTTATTGTACTTGCGTTGTTGAGAATAATAATTGACCATTAAACGTTGTTAGTTGTGAGAAAACTATAAAATGTAGTGGTCTTAGAATCTGAAAATATAACAACAATTTTTTATAAAACTATTATGTACAGTAGACTACAGTCTGTTAAGAAATTATCTTTCCTAGAAAATAATGAAGTAGTAATGAGTTCTTTATAATTAGCTGTACAAACAACCTGATAACTACTACTACTAATGAAACATTAGTCAGATTCTAATTAAGCAACATGATGTATAACTTATTTGCTACACAACTTCAGGGAAATTGCCAAAGCTAATAATCTTACCCTAGCCTATAGAAGTCCAACTGTTTAAAAAACCAACTGGACAGAAATAATCTTTCAGGAGTTTATTTGGTACCAGTAGATCAACTTCTACATTACATCAGACTAATACACACCAATCTTTGATCAGGTAAAAGCAGATGACAACAGCTTTGGTCACTTTTACAGCAAACAAGGATATGCTTACTCACTTTGACCAAACATGCCTAATAAGTCACTCAAAGGATTAGTCTAAGTATGCAAGAAAAGGCACAGTAATCAAATGTCTTATTGACTTTATAAAGCCTCGAAGGCCCCGAGATCCAAAAATCAAAACTGTACCTTCCATTCAATCAGGATATAGCTGGTGTAAAGTTTAAAAATTTGTTCTATATCCTTTTTGAATGACAAATTGTAAACCTGACAATGGTAGCTTTAAATTCGCTGAAAACATTTGCTTCTTATTAAATTCATTTAATCTTTACTGGTTGTTGGATTTTAATATTGGTATATTTTTTATTTTTTTTATCCAGATTTTTGTAGTGCTCAAAATGTTTTATGGTTACACCTAGCAGTTTAAGAAAATTTATATAAATTTTTTTTATTTTACTATCTAGTTTAAAATAAATGGTGAATGGAGAACTTGGATCGACTATGAAAAATTTCATAAGTTAATAAGAAGATATTACGAAAGTAATGGAGAAGAAACATTTACATCATTGGACTATATGCTTCATACGCCGAATTGGGCCATTATCGGTGCTAAAGAAAGAGGATTCGATCCCGTAGAGACGAGATTTTTAAGGAAAAGTAAAAAAGATATCAGTGGATGCTAGATTTTTTTAATTTGTCTGGAAAATTAGCATATCAATGAAAAATTGATAATGTATTGTCATTTATCAATTTTTGTATGATTTTGTTATTAAAAATGGTTTGTTTCTCCTTTTAACTTTAATTAAAGTAATGGGATCATAAAATTTCTTAAAATACATGCATAAATATTTGCCATTCCAAAATCAGATAATAATAAACTATATTAATTAGCAAACCTTTTAAAAGCCCAAATAACTTGCATATAGAAGTAAAATTTATCAGTATCTTAAAGAATAGAGGCATCGTCTCAAGCTGCAACAGTTATGAATATAATATTAACTAAAGCGATGTATTGCTTTAAACTTGAACCATTGCTACTTTACTAACTTATTTGCTAGAAAGGCATCAAAATTAATTAATGTATATTGCAATAACAGTATTATGTTTGCCAAAAATTTATATAAAGATTCAATCTAATATATATTGTCATTGTGATCATGTCAGATCATTTGATAATTAAAATACTGAGGGAATCAGCAATTCAAATATTCTAAACAAGATAAAAATGTCAGATCAATTATATGAGCATTCTTAGCGTATTAAAATATTGGGTTGTTCAGAAAGTACTTTCGTTTTTTTTACCACTAGACGGATTAGTCGTATTTTTTCCGCCATTTTCATTCTAAACCATATTATCATTATATATTTTGACAGCTAGCATTTTAAGGCTTATTTGTAAAAAATTTTCTTTGATTTTGTGCAATTGTTTATTTTTTGTGTCCTATCAAATATGGAAGATCGAGAGCAGCATTTTCGGCATATTTTGCTCTTTTATTACCAAAATGGTAAGAATGCCATTCAAGCGAGAAAAAAATTGCACGACATGTATGGAGAAGCTGTATTGACAGAACGACAGTGCCAAAACTGGTTTACAAAATTTTATTCTGGCAATTTCAATATTGAAGATGCACCACATTCTGGATGGCCAGTTGAAGCCAATGAAAACAAAATAAAAGTACCGATTGAAGCAAACTGCCGAATAACAACACGTGAAATCACTAAGAGATAACGGTTCAATTTGACAAATTTAATGATTACTTGAAACAAATTGATTTTGTTTCAAAGCTTGATATATGGGTTCTACATGTTCTTAAAGAGAGATGCTCTCTTTGGTGGGATTTTAAGGAAATTTATTTTTTTGGAGCTTTTACCAGACAATTTAACAATTGATTCGAAAGTGTACTGTCATCAAGTAAACAAATTGAGTAATATCATCAAACAGAAAAGGCGGCCAGAATTGATCAACAAAACAGGTGTAGTGTTTTACTACAATAATGTCAAATTTCACACAAGTTTGGTTACTTGTCAGAAACTGTTATAACTTAGATGGGGCGTGCTATTGCACCGACCATATTCACCAGATCGAGGACACTCTGATTACTACTTGTTCCGGTCTATACAAATTTTTTTTAACTGCAAGACATTTACTTGAAATGACAATGTCAAAAATCACTTGGATCAGTTTTTTGTAAGCAACGATCAAAACTTTTATGAATGGGAAATCATGCTACTACCAGAAACTATGACAACAGGTATTTGACCAAAATGGTCAATATATAATTCAATAAAATGTTTATTTATTATAAAAATATTGTTTAGTTTTCCACAGAAAAAAAACGAAATTACTTTTCAAACAACCCAATAATATAAAATGACAAAAATATTGATAACGTCTTCCTGTTGTAAACAAGTTTAAAATATTCAACAAAAATAAATTAATAATTTATAGTTAAAAATAACATTATAATGTTTATATAAAGCTACAGTATTTTGTAGTATTAGCTATAAATTTTAAAACTTAGCTTCTTTTTTTCTTCTGTAAGAACTTAATAAACAAAACAAGACATTGAATAGTGGGATTGAAGATATAATAAGATAGATGCTAGATATCAGCTAATGTAATAGCTATGAATTAAGCAAGACCTGACAAATATTACAGTAGATGTTTTGATATTTCATTTCTTTTATCTGCAACCATTGAATTGTCAAATAGTGGGTATTCCTAAAAAAACATACAGTACGTTGGAGATAATTAAGTAGATTAAATTGATTAATTAATTGAAATCTGAATTTTTAAAGATATTTTTGAAAATAATATAATGTTATTTAATAAATGAATTAGACAATTTGAATTTTAATAAGAATAAAGGTGGTATTCTAAAAAACATCCAATACAATGAAATCCATGCAATGCTTTGTTAGGCTGGTAACTGCATGCTTTGAAAAAAATATTTGCCAGTAGGTTTAATTATTAAGTTGCTATTTTTTCCAATGCTTTATTGCCCAGACTACTATGCCATCAATTATTATTATTTAGCTTTAATTGAAATATCAGAAACTGAGAGGATTTAAACCTAGATTCAAATGATATTGACATTGAAAAAGAAGTTACAATCCCATATATTCTCTAAGTCATGAATCATATACTGAATCTAAAGATAAGGCTAATGAGAAAGGTTTGGAAGTAAAAGTGGTTTCTCAAGTCAACAACTTCTCAATCTGGACCCAATAAAGTCCTGAATAGAAACAGGAAACTTTCTGGCAAAAATTGAGCTTGAGTAAAATTTGGATAAATTTTTTATTGCCACCTACATCAGACTGTGAAGAAGAGAAGCTGAAGAATGCAAAGGACTTTTTCCCTTGCATTCTTCAACATTTTGTCATTGCCAAAACTTATTGACAGCCAAATCCTTCATTGCTTCTGAGAAAGAACAATAAGAACTTAAAAGCGAGTTTGATGTGAAACACAATATCCTTTCTAGAAAAAGAAAGGTCAGGCCTGTTCCTTCCAATGCATTTCATCACAGAAGCAAAACACATACCAGAGATTGCTCTAATCAACAACTTCACTTGTTACAGATTAAGTGAATTAAAAAAAAAATTCAGGTGCATGAAGTGTAATATATTTTTGTGCATTAAAGCAGTAAGAAATTGTGTTTGATTCTTTCATAATTAATAACTGCTCATTGTGAAAGAATGAAAAGCAATAAAATATTTGCATAAGATAACATTAGTATAATGCAATTATGTTGTCTGTTTTATATTGAATATGATATTCCTAAGGGTAAAAATGAATGAACAATTACATATCTTAACATTTGAGCATCAATTAAAATAGATACAGCTCCCCAAAATAGAGTTTATGGTCGGGGATAACCATATACAGAAGTATAGTTACTAGAGCCCTAAGAAGCCCAAAAAATATCAATTATTATTGTATTTTTAAGATTGCAGAATTGAGGAAGATACATAATGCTGGTTTTAAAATACAGAGATACACTTAAACTACAAATACATATCAACTTTACTAGAAACAAATGAAAAGGCAGTATAGTATCAAAATGTATACTTATTCCAATATCCTAATAATCTTATTATTCTACAATCTCATGGTTTCTAAAGCTGTAATTAATGGAGACAATATACACAATAAAATTTTAACTATTATATAATTGAGAATTTTTAATAAATTTACTTATTTATTTCATCTACATTAGGAAATGTTGCTGGACAGTATATCTCCTCCCCAATAAATAACATAACCCATAACAAAAAAGATAAAATACATAAAAAGAAAAACAACTGATGTAATAAAACAAATAGAAATTGCAAACAAATATAAATAAGACAGATACACAAAAAAATGTTTAAATATTAAATATATATAATGGTAAAAGTAATACAAAAATTTTTTAAATAATATAATAACCAAAAAGGAGTAAAGGTATTTGCATAAAGTGTAAAAGAATGCAGTAAGATATGCAAGTAAAGTCATGTTTAAAAACCATTAGGAATTATATAGTAAACATAAATGATTATATGATGCTAGCTAAGCTTATACCAATAGCTTTAAGATGCATACTGGAAACAGTTAGCTTGTTTATTAATGCAACAGCATTAATAAACAAGCTAACTGCTTTAAGTTTTAAAAGCATCAATGCGAATTTAATCTACTTATAAAAAACATTCAAATCTCACTGAAGGATAAAAATTACTCTAAACTCTAAATAAGGTTTCTATATTTTGTAATCTTTATTTTTTTAGTAAGTGAAAAAGCATGTCTATCACTTATAATTCTTTGATTTCAATATAAAGAAGACATAATATTTGTTACAAGAACATTAGCATCTTAAAGAAAATAAGCATAAATGCTTAATATTACATAAGTTTTGAAACAATATAATTGTATTGTCACAGGGAAATGCTAACTAATAATCATTTGTAAAATGGTCATTACTTAAACCAAATTATTACCTGTTATACATTATGTTCTTTTTTACAAAATACACAAGAAACATTAATAGCTGTGCACTAGTAGATCATCTTGCATAAATATGTAATAATCAAATATCTTACTATCTAATAATCAAAATTACACTGAAAATTTTGAATGAGATCTACAAAGGCATGATTTCAAAAAATATAAACCAATTAATTAAGATTAATACTACATATCAAATAGTGTTTACAGCATTTGATACATTGTGTAAATTATATATTTCATACAGTTGTAAAAATGGAAAAATTTTTCCATATGCTTTCGTGGTATGTTATCCTATGGGCAAAAAAGGGCAATTGTCTGTAGCCCCAAATCAATGTAAGAAAATATTTTCTTGAAGAAAAATATCTGAAGTCAACACTGTACGTGGTGCCCCTAATTCACATTTGTCTGGGTCCCACGAAACTATAATCCATCACTATTGTGCTTTGAGAAAAAAATGGAAAATAAACTGTTATATGTTGTTGCTAAATCGTGTGTCCATTAACTCAACATTTCTAATTTTATTAAAAATTTAGAATTTTGTAAGCTTTTGGATTGGATTGATGGGTGATCTGCCAGGAGAGGGTGCCTCTCAGGACTTTCAATGGGAAACTGTAACCTACTTAGGTGTTAGGCAAAACCAGAAAAACTCCAGAGTGAGGTACAGACTAACTACCAATGTTCAGTGGTTTTTATCCACTTGGCCATTGGTGGACTTTGTAACTTGCTGTGGCACATTCAGAAATATAACACCCCTAGGCCTACAATATGCCAGTATCCCAAAGTAATAGGATCATTTGATACAAAGTGGCTCTATTTTTATAACTAATTCTGCAATAATTGAACTTTTACAGATTTTTAAATATCCAAAGGGCACTATTATTCGAAACCCACGAATAGTACTATCACTTTGTGCAAAATATATATTAATTATTGATACTTCTCAACCAATAGGTATTATTTTTGTGTCTCTACTTAAGTTTTTAATTTGTACTAATTCCTTTGTGAACTGTTTCTACATAAAATTATTTTTTCATTGTTATTATTTGAATTTTGAACTCCTAAGCCCAGGCCTAATGGAAAATCTGCCATTTCTTACCTGTATGCCCATAAGAGTATTAAACAAGTGATCAGTATCATCTATGTATATTTTTCTATTTATATTAACAAATGTAGAATGCAAACTCTTTTTCAAACATTATATTGTAATTAAATTAACTTTTAGAATAAAATAATTGAAATTAACATTTTGTTTTATTGTTTTAAAACTACAGGAGTTGTTAAGCTTCAAAGTTGGCGAACAAAATCGTGCCACCCCAAACACACTTAACATCCATACATAAAAAATTCTGGGGTAATTTCTGCATTTCTCGATATTTCAAGGTCCCGAGTCAAGAAATGTAAAAACTGGGGGGGGGGTATTTTTTGACTGATCGCCATACTTTCCCTCTGTTATGTATAACAGCCGGGAAAGTAAAACTAAGTGGGTGTGTCCATTTAGAAATTCGTTAAGGTATCAAGTTACATCGGATGACCTCGGTAAAATGAATAAATTCCTAATGTAATTAATCTGTACTACAGTAAAAAAAACTCCTAATGTAACGTGTAATAAATTAAAAAAGAAAAACAAATTCGTACCTACATATGGAAGACACTCTACAATCATTCCGCAGTGTTCCTGTAGACTAGTGGATAAATGTGTGCAATGGAGTGGCAGATTTCTCCAGATTCCAGAAATTAATTTATTTATAATGATATATATTAACAGTTTTTGAAATCGACCGTCGGTTCTAATCAGCATTTATATCACAAAGATAGGATAAAATGCAACAAAGGTGTAATTTTATTTGTCACTTGATGTTATTATGCAAATTATGCAAAAAAATAAGTTCGAATAAAACTTATTTTTACAGATTATATAGTGACGAATTTAGAACTAATATTAAGGTGTAATTTAAAATCTATCTATATAAGGTTTCGTCTAAAGTCAGCATTTTCTTAATAATTTCATACCTGATTCTTATTACGTGTGACTTTTATATATTACCCCTCAACCGGGTATCAACTTTTATTAATTTGACAGTAGAAAAGAATATTTCTTCAGTCTTACGAGCCAGATCTATGTATTTACTTAATCTATTTAGGAATATCATTTTTTTTCTCAGAAAAAATAAATTAGAAAATAACATTATTCAATGTAACCTACGATCGTACACGAGCTATTTAAATGATAAATTTTAGAAAAATAACCCCTTTTACAAAAAAAATTGATAGATGAGTAAATAAATATAATTTCATTCTCTCATAGAATCTATAACATTTATAAACAAGACATATAAATCTATATGGAATTCATGGATTCTCTAAAGAAAATTTCGTAACTCCTTAATCGACATCTTCACTACAATAAAAAGTCGTAATTTAAACTTTTAAATTATATTTCTCTGCGTATAGTGTGTTATTATAAAAATATCGATCTCGCTTAAGTTTAAAAAATGCATTTATAACCTCGATTTAATGCTAATATTACAGCAATGTTCTCAAAAAGATTGGGTTAATGAAATAAGACGACACAACACTTGGGAAATCTGCCAAGGGGGAGGTGCTTCTCAAAAGGACACACTGGAAAACTGGCCCTATTTAGGTGTTAAGGATCTCTCCATTTCAAGATAATTCAATGACAAAATACACCAAGACAATTCACGCTCTTATTATTATATTAATAAAGAGAAAACTGACTAATGTTTTAATAAAATAAAGCTTTAGCTAATTATCGTATCAAACATCGTACTGGCTTCATTTTATGTGTATACAATAGTTTATCTTGTCTTTTTTTTTATGTTTTCTTTGTGACGTTTCTGTAGATTTTATTCTTAATGGAACGAAAAATAAAATTTAAGTAGTGCACATGATTTTTACCAGTGCAAGGTTAAGTAAACATTATGAAAATTGAGGTAAACCTGCGTGCCACTTTGTCGGTAAATAGTCACCATAGAGATGATACTGTCCCAAATGCGACTAAATTTGTTTACTACAAAACGTCTTCCACTAAAAATAGTTATCTCCTCGAATTTGTACTAATAAAATGGAAACTCTTTAAATAGAATGTAATAATACACCTGTGTAACATATTTATTTAATGCGTGTAAACATTACGGTCGATCGATTCTTAAAAAAGTAAAAATAAAAAAATGTAAGTAAATAGAAAATTCGTGGATAGAAAATTTAATAACGACGATTGAATAATTTTTTGTAGTTATTTACGGTTGCCAAAAGGAAATTGTCATACAAAATTACGGCCACTCGCCAGAGATAAAATAAACCACGAAGAAATTTATTTAAATTTGGCACGTACAGTACGGTCGAGCTAATCCGAACTAATTGAGACCAGTGGTGGTTCGGATTAACGGGGATATGACGCTTACGGTTTGATGCCATTTTAACCGTTGTAAGGTACTTTACAGAGCAAATAGAGATTAAAATTGATGTTAAGTCAAACGGGGTCACAGAAATAATGAGCCGCGATGCTCGGAACACGTGACTTAAGTTTATTTACACGTCGGATTCAAGGATACAGTTGACAAGTTCATTATTTTACTATCGGGAACGGTAAGTGTTCGATGACCAGGGATTCGGATTAGCGCGACCACACTGTATTTTATAAGGTCTCACCATATTACAAAATTTTAAAATAAAGGATGTGTCCAAAGCATATTTATATAATTTCTTTATATTTCTATAAAGAATATTTATTATTATTATTTATAAATTATAGGCCTATTTCTTTTTGTTGCGTGCTGCCATTCTGCCACAGTTGGGTGCAGTTTTCTTAATTTACGACGCTTTTTAAATTTGGCACCGACTTATTTATTAATTTTATATAATAGACCGTGCCGTATTTACGTATCGAGTGGCCACCCGGGTCCACTGACCTCGCACCTCAGAATTTACTCGGGGTTCGTCCGAATTTGATATTAAAGAACAAATTTGTTCCGCGTGTCGGCACGTCTCACCTGATATTTTCGAACACGGGCACAATTGGCAGCATAATATAATCTTGTGCGTGGTGATTTGAATATTTACTTCAGTAATAATTTGCCTACGGGACCCCAATTGTGGCAAATATATCTTATTCTCTAATCTTGTGAATTAATTTTAACATTTGGTAACGATTTTTATCATTTATAGTGATGAGAATCACTAAAAAATTCCTATTTTATATAGAATAGATGTATTAATACATTTACAGAATATAAATGACTGTCTGTGATATCACATTATTGTAATTAATTTGAATATTATAAATTATTCATTATCAACAAACATATATTTTTATCGTTTCAATAATCGATACGTATAATGTTTAAATGCTTTGAAAGAAATTTGTTACACAATCATATACGATTCCATGTAAACAACTCATTCATAACTTATCATTTAATTACATTCATTTAGGATACTTTACGTAACAAGCCATGTGACATTTGGGTTAAAATCATCTCTATGGTAACTATTTATCGATAAAAACAGGAGAATTAACCGTGACTTTCTTATATTTATTTAACATTGAGCCGTCACTGTATCTATAAATCGGTGGGATAATTTTAGAATGCTAGAAAGTTATTAAATAATTCGTAAATTTGATATAATTATTTCGACAGAGTGTAGCTTTTATTAAAGATAAAATTACACTGGACAAATGTGCAGGACACCATTAAAAGGAAGAGAATTGAAACCTCGATGAGGGTGTAGTTAAGTACTCGAGGGATGTTAATCTATGAGATGGCTTACAAATTAAATTTATAGGGTAGGAAGAGATCGACCAGCGATTCCGAAGGGAGACAAAATCCAGTTTATTAAGTAATTTTCGTTATATCGATTCAAACTGCGAATCGAATCAATCTTGTAAATGATTACGGGCTCCCAAACGTGTTGTTAATTGTTACGACACGTTGTGCGATTTTAAATGGTGTAATTTCGGCTAAAATGATGCGAATTGATTTCGCTCCCGACTAATTACCGTTAGTTTCTTCTGTGTTTTTGTTTTTTCTACTGTTAGAGAACAAACAAAGGTTAAATTTTGATTGGGATTTTTGCATTGCTCGACATTTTGAAGTCCGATTCCGAAATCAAAACTGAGAAGAAAATGGATGTGTGTTGACTTGTATTTTTCTTTATATCTCGGGACCCCAATGACCAAAAATTTTGAAATTTAGTAGGAATACTTTTATATACGGAGCGTTGATGCTAGTACATTTTGGAGTGTATAAGTCAAAAGGGAGGGGAGATACAGGAGATGAGATCAAACTTAATGGGCATTTACTAATAACGAGATCTTAGCTTATTAAAAACAATCATTGACCTTTACAATTTTTTTTAACTTATCCTACCCGAAAATAAGGCTTAACCTGCTGTTCGAGAGGCGGAAAAGTCGTGCTAGAGCCTTCCCAATTATTTTTTTCTGTAAATAAAATGTTTTAAAACGTAGTAGTGATACGTTTATACATATTTTATAATACTCATCCATACAACCACAATGACAATTACGTTTCGTATATTTTATTTTGAAATTAAAATCGTATAATATAAATATATCTACAAACAATTCTTATCTACATATATAAGTTCATATTTACATAGGAGATAATCTGTATAATTTATAAATAATATTAAAAGGAAAACTCCAAATGATAATGATGTCGATCACGTGGCATTGAAAATCGATTAGCTCGGTCACGTGATGATGTCGGCAAATTAACTCGACCACGTGACGCTATCGTCACGTCATCGAATTCATTCGCTAGATCGCTCGTATGTAGAACAAAAAAATTTAAAATTAAAGATATTAGTATATTAATTTTAATTCTTATTATTATAATATCTTTAATTTTAAATTAAAACATACAAGCGATCCGATAGAAATATGCAAATGAATCTATAACTAATTATTACGTCATTGATTCGTTTTAATCACGTGAGTGCGTTATATGACGTAGATTTTAATAGTGTGATAAATGACGCAAAACAACTTAAAGCGTTAAGCCTAACTCAAAAACACGTTATTTAAGCACAAAATAATTATTTGGCGTTAATAAATGCTTAATTCTATATATATTTACATTAATTTCTAAAATAAAATCGGTACTTAATGAGGAAAATATCAATATTTTATAAAAATAATTATGTAACCTACGCTTTACTGGCAGACGAACTTTATTCACGAGGAATCTTGGTCACGTGATAGTGGGAATCAATCACGTGTTGAGAAATTTTAAATTTTACTATATTTATGATTTTATAAAATGAAAAAAAAATTATTTTAAACTTAAAAGATATTAAAAAATATAAAATAATATACGATTTATATTATTTTAAATTAATAAAAAAAAAATCTCGGAAATTTAACTAATGAATAGATTAATGTTGCCAGATATTTTAATCACAGTTTTTACAGAAATATTTATACAATAAATATAATACATATTAAATATACACATTTTACAATTTATAATACAAATTACATCGTTTAATTAAATAATTTATGTATTATATTTTTTCTCTTAACGAATTTAGGCATCTCTAATCAAATTTAAATTTAACCACGTGAAATTAAAAATAAATGCTCTATTTACAAAATTAGTTTAAAATAAAATTTAAGTTAGTTTATATTTTGCTTTAATTTATAATTTAAATAAATTAGTTTTTAATAAAACTCTTGCAAAATAAAAAAAATATATTTTAAATTTCGGTCACGTGATCTAATGGACGGAACTGATTGGATGATGCTGTTATTTTAATTATTAAAAATTTGCATATATGTATAATTTTTAATATGAATAATTACATATTTATACGAATTCTTGTATGAAATACATTTAGCAGTAGAAAAATCCGATCTTGAAATACGTCGTAGATTATCCAATTATTGCCCTCGGGCAGTGTATTGCCTGCTTTTTAAAATGATAAACAGTCCGAAGTATTGATTTTATTCTCCTTTACTTTTATTTATTTATTTATTTTGATAATTTTCTTTATTTTACGTTTCGCCCCACATTGCTTTCTGTACTTTTTGTAAGTCTTTTGCTAACTTGGCACTATTTTCGTCTATCTCTTCTGTAAAATTAAACAAACTGTTATAGAAAACGCCACTAGAGGGACATGTAAAAAAATATAAAATTTAAAAATTTGAATTATTCTCTCGTACTATTGGTTAATTTTAAAATTTATACTATTCTCGCGTATTATTGGCTAATTTGAAATTTTCATTCAAAATACTTTTACGTAATTGGATATTTGGAAAATTTGAAAGAAAATGTTTATAATTTAAAATAACGGCATCTTTATATCGTTTTAGGTAAAGATTTAAGTTGAATCGTGTTTGAAATCTTAATTAACACTCTTACGTTTAGTTTTAATAGACATTTTAGCTGATTTCCTATTATTTACTCCTACTGGCATTAATTTCGATATGAGTGGAGGTAATTTAGGGGGTGGTGTAGGAGTCATGACGCTGTTTCCCACTATCGTGACGTCATCTTCGACTTCTGCCGATCCATTATTTATAGATTTGTTTATTTTCGATCTATCGGAACCTTGAGATATTCCATTACCCCACGAATTCCATCTTTGCGGCCTAGGGGAAGCTTTGGCGCTGCGATCGCTGTTCTCCGCCGTTTCTGTTATATCTGTCAAACTGTTTGCCTAGAATTAATAATTATGCTTTAAATTCTTGATTTTAATGGTGAAAATTTCATTACCTTCTCCCAACTTTTCGTTTTTCGGGGGTGAATTGCTTCGTCCAACTTCGGTTCGTTACTTTCACTCTCGAAGGTGTTCTTTTTGTAAAATCCATGTATTCCGCACTTTCCCTTTCCATCTAGAATGGATTTTTCATTGTTAAAAATTACAGTGTTACTTTATACAGTCGACCCCCCCTATAACACTGTTGATTATTCCGTTTTATATGAATTCCATGTTGTACGAGTCACTTAGATCTTACAAATACGTGTACCGGGCTGTGAACGGCTCAAGTATTTGTAAGACCTAAGTGACTCGTACAACATGGAATTCATATAAAACGGAATAATCAACAGTATTATAGGGGGTCGACTGTATTTAGATATGAAAGAATACGAGATAATAATGTTTCTGTGTATGAAAATATCCAGAGGAAATTACTCTGTATTTAGATGCGAATCACTGTTGTAGTATTTCTCTTGGGTATTTAAATATTCTAGAGAAAGAATAAGTATACAGAAAACACTGGACAGAGAGTAAGCATACAGAGAACACTATAAAAGAATAAGTGTAAAGAGAACACTGGACAAGAGTGTTTTTCAGGGAGAAAAATCCAAGGAAATAGTTTTATCTAGTGTCTAGTCGACAGTATCATAAATCAAAGGAAAACTCACGTCTCCGTCTAAGTCATTAAGTGATCTTCTCGATCCCGCACTGGACCACGCATTAGTCACTAAATCCTGCTGAGAACTGTAGGAATTGTTCAAAGAATGGGAGTTACCCTCGTCTTGATAATCGGGACTCGCCGAAGACGGACTGAATTTTCTGTTCGAAAATTGAAAAAAAGTATTAATTATACAGTATTTTAATGAATTTCGAATAAAATTTATAATTAAATTTTTAAAATACCTTCCCATATTAGCTAATCTTTGCGATAATTTCTCATTTTCTCTGCAAACCAATTCGTGATCCCTCGTTAACAAGTCTCTCATCTCGTGAAGACTAGCATTTTCTTCCCTAAAAAACACATCGATTTTAATAATTTAAATGCATTTTCACCCTAAAATACCATCTCAAAGACAAATATCTAACCTCAAATTTTCGTTCTCTTGCATGTAATGGTACAACATGGATTTAACTTCGTCCGTCTTCATGTCTGAAAAAACGGATGGAAATTAAAGAATTTCTTTATTTAAATGTCATACATTTTCTTAAATTGTTCCCATTTATTGTCCCTGACCTCAATAGAAAATGAATCTCTACCAGCCAACGCCTGTTAAAGTTCAAAAAATGGGAACACATCCAGCATCATAAGTACCATGCAAAGAGGGTAAGTTAGCTTAATAGAAGTAATGGAATATTTTGTTTAGAACCCACACGATTCATTAGGATAAAAACCTTTTCGTTGAATAGAAGAATTGTTTCCATAGTAACTACATAAGTTTACCAATTTGATTAGATTTTCTACAGCATACCATTAGTGTGAGGGTGGACATGATAAATGTTTGGTTAGCTTTATATAATATATTAGTTAAGAAAATATGAGTGTTGTGTATGCATAATAACAAAACATTGGCGTAAAAAAACGACTAAAGTTCTATGAAATTTAATTATAATTTCGCATTTTACTTCACAATTACATAGTGAGAATATCGAAATTTAAATTTGGCAACACATTTGGGGACCTTGATTGTTGGTTTGGCGCTTGCACAGCGCAGAACTTAACCATCCAGAGGAAGGATACATTACATTAAAAGAGTAGAGAGGTTGTCTGTATGTGCACAGACTTCACCTCTAAGAAATTAGAAGAGGAAGTGATAGTAAGTAGGGAGGGAAAGAAAATAGGGAAAGATTGAAGGAAAGTGTCGGGTCACTGGGCGTCTACATCGTATTTGTTAAACAATTACAAGACAAAATATGTACAGTATAGTGATACAGTATACAATACAAACATCCAGAGGATACAGCGAGATTCCCCCTCCAAAATATTCCATCGAATAAAAATGTGTGGAGTCAACACTGTATTTGAGCCCCATAATTCAAATTTGTCTGAGCCCCATGAAGCTATAATGCGCCATTGTAAACTAGTATCTCATTGACAAGTTATGCTATAAGCAAACTGAGTACGAAGGATCCTTTAAGAATGGAGAACACACGTCGTAGATGCGCCTCTCCTACGGGCTGGCCACGTGGAGTTTTCCGGGTAGTTTTTCACATTTGTAACACCTAAATAGAGGCTAGTTTCCTATAGAAAGTTCTCCGGAGAGGCATCCCTCTCGGAAGATCACCCACGTGCTGCGTGATGTATACAAACAAATATCCTAAATAATCAAACTGAATATTCTTCAGACATCTGGATGCTCCTACAGATACAACCTTTGATAGTTATCATACGCTTACTAACTACCACTGAGTGTAATACTGTCTGGCCTTTTAGTGCTAAAACAGCAGAAAAGGGCCTAAAACCACAAATAAAAACATTAAAAGAAAGTGTATTACTCAAAGTGGAACATCTTATATTCCTCTCAAAACCCAATTTTAAATACAAACCCTACGTATATGTACTTACCCTCTATAGATATCGAACCGGGTCTTCCAAAAGTGACGTCTCCACCAATATTTAACTATATATTTAATATTAACAAACAATATTTATGATATATCACATCGTTAGGACCTACCTAGAGAGGAATATTATAAAATTATGCACCTTCCATACCTGTTGCCTCAAGAAATCATTTTCCATTCTAAGTAACTTTACCTCCCTTTTCAGGCTCAAAATCAGCTGTTCTCTCGGATCCTTGATAAAGAAATGAGTCATATTAATTTACGCATTACATAAATCATTAGTTTACACTTAATTAACATTAATTACCATTCTGATAATGGGTTTCGTCTTGATTCTTTTGGCTCTCGAAGCGTACCTTAACGTGTTGAGTGTCTCTGAAGTGTTGGCTCTGCTAGGAGATATACACGCTATCTGAACGGTAAATATATTGTAAAATCATTTCGATAAATCGATATTTTCCTGATAATTCAGAATCGTTACGTAATCATAAATATAAACAGAACATTTATTACTATCCTTATTAAATAACATGCTTAATTGTTCTACGAAACTCCGTAAGCAAGTTATTGATATCTTCACGCTTATAACGCTTAATTAATTCTGTTATTAAAAACGTCTCCAGTATCAAGTTGAGTAGCTTTCCCGGAAAAAATGTTAAAATTGTGTGTGGTGCCATCTGTTGTGAGATTTTATTAGTTATTATAAAATGACAAAAGTTTAATTTTCAGGTAGGGATGAGTTTTATAAAATATTGTAATTGCTGATAACGAGCAAAATCTTCATTAAGTCCGACCCCACACGTGACTCCTCTGTATCTCCCCACTTCCTCGACCTTTAACCCCCAAACTTTAATAGCATCAATGCCCCTAATACACAAACCTCCCTGCAAAATTTCAGAAATTTTCGACGAAAGACACAGGAGTAATTAAGCTTTAAATTGACTGAACAAAGTCGTGTCCCCCATACACAAAAATACATACAAACCCATACAAACGGGTCTATACATACAGAAAAAAAACCCCAATTTTTGCATTTCTGGACGTTTCAAAGTCCTCGAGTCTAAAACTGTAAACATTTTGGGGGTTGTTTTTCGACCCATTGCCATACTTTCCCTCTGTTATTTATAACAGATGGAAAGTACTTAGTTTAAAATTAATATTGGGTTTTATTTTTAGAGATTTTTATTTGAATTTAACAAAATTTCTAGTTAAAAGTCTACCCGATAGTAGATAAGATGTTATTAATATATTGATTCAATGCTTGGAGAATATTGACTGAGTAGCTCTTATACATCGCTAGACAATTACATTATTGGGTAAGGTATTTATTTTATTTACTATCGAGGACATTTTGTATGATTCTTATATAAAAAGTAATGGGAAAAATAAAAAATTTTATATAATTTTCAGATTTCAAATTTAAAACTGTTATGACAATTGTCAGTATGAAGATGTAGAGGAATGTTTTTAAATGTTTGCTTTAATTTCTATTAGAACACAAGCTTTAACTGCTATAATTGGTGTTCTTGTTTCTCTGTGAAGTTCTGCTTCTGTTACATAAGCAGTTATTATTATAGCTTATCCAAAAGCAAATAATACACTCGTATTGTTCTGGAAAACTCTTGTTTCTGTATTAAAATCTTCTGTTGTTGCTGCAGCATTGATTGCACGAGTCGAGAAGTAATTACGGAAGCAAATATTACTCCAGAAGCACTCCTATATAAGAGCACGTTGCCTTCAAGCAATCATACTGGATATTACTCTAGAAATACAAGAGAGATATTCTATACTTCGAGCAATAACCATATACAAGAGCACGTATTTCTGTAGCAATTAAAATGTCATACGACAGTGAAAAAAAATCATTAGAATCTTCGTCCGCCATTTTTTTCCCTGGTATCCTACTTATTTCTCGAAAATCTTTAATCGATAGAGTCTTAATCCAAAAATTTAAAAATCGATGATCCTAAAATAAGTCGTTGTCTTTAAACCAACGTAATTTTGGCTGTCAGTTTGTCTACCGACTTATAAATGCAAAAATCAATGTACTTAAAAAATACAGACAAAAATGTAGGTTACATACTCGTGTGAGCAGCACATTTCGCTTCATTTACATATGATTTTCGTACACTTATGTTTAAAATTAACGTATAATTGAGTTAATTAAGGTTAAATTTCTTTGTTTTAAGTCGAAATAAGCTTAAAACCTCATAAAATTCTTTGGAATAATTGAGTTTTTATTGGAAATTCCTAAGCGAGTGGATCATTCAATATTCTAGTGACCTTGTATTAAAATATACAGATTTAGAAGAAAATCTACAGAGAGTAATTATGAAAAGTGTACTTAGAAAACTATCAAAAATGATGAAGTCCAGCGAGAAAACTTTATAAAAAATACATTATTAAAACTATTTTTTCGTGTATAAATATTATAATTGAGATATATTCGAACCATTTCGCTAAATTTAATAACACTACAGAGCTTATGTACTGTACGATACATACAAGGTGTCCCATAAGATAACTCTCATAGTTCTAGGCTTTCAAGACAACCTGTATATTCCTATTAACATAAGCTCTGATTGCTGTAGTGTTATTTTATCCGAATACAACAACAATTTAGTGTACTGAATTACGAAGCACCCCCTGTATATTCTTATGTCAAACTATATTTCTATAGAAGTAAGAACAATATCCTACTGTTCTTACTTCTAAAGTAAGGACTGAGAACAGATATCAGTTTAGCTGCCACAGAAATATATGGTTCATAAACAGTTCTTCTGTAGAAACATAAGCAATTCCTGTAGAAGCAAGAACAGATATTAATTAATATTTATTATTCATTTAAGAATAAGAGTAGATATTGCTATAATAATGAAATCAAGCGTTGATATGATCAATTATTTCTGTAGAATGACGACTCGAATAAGAATATTGTTTTAATCAGAAGAATATCATTTTACGTGGTATAAAGAAGAAAAAGCTGATAATAGGAGTATCGTTGTCATTGTAAAAGCAGTAATTCCCATAGAAGCAAGAGCTGGTGTTCCTGTAACAGTAGCAGCAGTTATTCTTATTATAGAAGCAAGAAATTGCTTCTATAAGAATTCTAAAGGATGCTCTTGGTTGCCCAGAGCATCCTAAAGGATGCTATATAATATTTATATACCAAAAAAGCATGTATTCCTGTAGAAGTTAGAGCAAACAAAAGTCGATAGCAGGAGGTATAATAAACAGTGTAATAGCAGTTATTCCTGTAGAAGCAAGAGCTGATACTCCTACAGTATAACGTTAGCAGCAGCTACTCCTATAGAAATAAGAGCATTCTACAGAATGTTTTTGTTTCGTGCTATAAGGTATTTATCCATCATAAAAGCAGGTATTTCTGTACAAGTTAGAACAGATATTCCTATAACAATTCCTACGTGTGAAATTGTTATAAAATGCTTAATTAAGTACTTTTCTACAATAAATAAATACATTTAAGCGTTACAAAAATAAAACTAAAATTTAATTACTTTTTTAGTTAAATTTAAGAGTTTAATTAATTAAAAACATTATCAAGCGCTTAATTAAATTCAAAATTTAATTATCATCGTAAATTTATGATAGTGAAGTCGTCAGATCTCTGTGAAATGATGATGATAAATGTCGTTTCTATATATTTATCGTGTGATATTATATATACGTATACATTTCTACGTTCTAGGGAGATATATAAGATTTTTTAAGTGAGAAAATTAAGATATTTTATAGATTTTTTTCCTCTAGAAAGTATATATGAGCTACGAAAGGGATGAGGGCCTTTCGTGTATATTATTTAAGTGTATAAGAAAGAAGAGACTCGTAATACTTGGCTTCTTCCTCTTTTCTTATATATATTCACGGTCTTCGATAGCTCGTATGGTGTTTGGAAGTAGAACGGACCCCTTTGCCCATTAGTGGGTCTTTTTCTCCTTTAGCGAGTCCCTTTCACCACGATTCTTTTGAAAAAATAATATAGATAGAATGACTCTTCATTAATAATATGGAGTGTTAAAGATATTTTCTGTTAGTAAGAATAATGTTAATTTAATAGNTCACGCATAGTAGCGTGATACAAAATGCAGTTTAGATTTCCTATTTCGTGAAAGGATTGAAAGGGGTCGTTGAACGGCAACGATTCCCAATAGAGAAAACCCCCCCCTCTCTCTCTCTGGAGTTCCACGTAAACTAGATAAAATTATAGTATAATTATACATATTAATTATATTTTTTACATACCATTAGTGCCATTCCACTCCCACCAAAACTATCGGCTAGAAGTTTAGTTAAAGTACTGTCTCTGTAAGGTATGTGGCCATTCCTCTTCCTGGGATCAGCAAGAGCAGAGATGCAATTACCTGGAACGTAGAGAGGATAAAATTAATTTAAAAATATGTAAATTAATTAAACATCTAACGTGTGTTTAAAAATACATTTTTTAACTTTGCAATTATGATTCATGGTTCCTTTTTCTTACTGCTTCCTCTTCGGTGTCAGTAGGTTATTTGATGGAGTGTAATTTATGATAAGGAATCGTAAGAATAGCCAAGGTTGCTTATGGTAATTTAGGGGCACACCCATTTTAAAACGGAAGAGGGTGGTCTCTTAAATGATTATTCAAAGAATAAAATCAAAATTCACAGTTAATTTCCCTATACCCTTATGTAAGTATAGGAGAATCGCGTGTCACCCCCCTTGTAAAATTCGAAAAAAATCTACAAGAAAAATGTCTTTACGTCTATTCAAATATGTAACTAAGATGATGTATTAATTGATATCGTATATTCTTTCGTAGACGATTTAGAAATTTAAAAAAGTGTATAAAATAAAATTGATTTTCTTTTCTAGGAATTGAGGAGTAGGAATTACATTTTAAATCACGTTTTAATTTCGATTTTAAAAGGTGTATAATCTCCATAATGGAATTTTGATGTGTCCTGGCGTGTTTAATAATTATTTTTCCAGTGTATAAAATAATTATAACTCACCCAAAACCAGTAGAGACTTGTTAATGTTGTTGGCTTCCTTCAGTGTTTCTCCCTTGCTGTTGGTTTTCTTCGTTTTTTCAGACCCAGCCAGGTCGACTAATGATAATTTCCCGTGTCTACGTATGAAATTTGTGCTATCTTCCGGGTCCCTCATCTCCGACGTCATCATCAGAACCAATATCGTGTGACTCCTGCTCGAATGCTCGTTCATATTATGACTCCTGACTTGCCTGTTCTTCCTCCCTGCATTTTCATTTAAGATTTTTATACAATTTTAAGCTTGAGGGATAAAATTTTAAATGTAAAAATCAAGGATGAAGACGAATCTTTAACCTTCTTCCAGAACTCCTTCCAGATCTCCAGCATCCTCGCATTCGACGACGAAGAGATTCTCTGCATAAAAACCCCTTTCCTTAGACCATCTGACTGTTAATCCTTTAGCTGAAGGATTTAAGAGGTCGAATACCTAATAAATAATTTAAAAAAAATAAATTTAATCGATCATTTCTGCGAAATTAATTAATAATTCATGTTTGGTAATGTTAGAAGGGATTAAAACTCGTACAGTTCTTTCATTAAAATAAATTAATAATTTATTATTTTAATTTAAAAAAGATTTATTTTTTAAATTATAATTAAAAAAGTACATAATTAACATATCCTCTTGTCTTGGCCAATTACTGAACGGTTTAGATTATCGATCGCTGTGATTGGTTGTAATATTTCACGTATGAACGAGTTATAACCAATCAGTGAAGAATGCTAACTTTTAAATCTAAACTTAAGGAGCTTACAACCAATCGGCAATTAGTTAAAACCAATCAACCAATCGGCAAAATTCACAGATTTTTTAAATTTAAATTTAAATTTTTTCCCGGAATTGATTCAGATTAAGAGGAAAATGGAGATTTTAAACGTTTATTTTGTTAAATTTTCTTCGTAAATTTTATTTTTTAAGTAAATTAATTTCCTATTAATTAAAATGTCAGACAGAAGGAGGAAAGTATACTTTTACCTGCTCTTTGTACACTTCTAAATAGGAAGCTTGTACAATATAATTGAGTTCCCTTCTTAATTCGACTTGTTCGAATAAATAATCGAATGCCATTTGTACAACGCCTTGTACTTTCTCCCCCGTTCTTCCGTCACACTTTAGCATGAAGAAATCAATAATTTATAGCATAAAAACCGCGAAATTTCGCATAGAAATCACACAAAATTATACCTGTACGCCCGTAAGCGTGTACGTCTTCCCAGCCCCCGTCTGTCCGTACGCCAATACTGTACAAGCGAATCTAAAAATAGGAAGAAAATTCGATAAATTATGGATAATTCAATAATTTCTTCAGTTAAATTTGAAAGAAATTCACCCGTCTAACGCCATGTCTATCATTTTTTTGATTCCGCAATATTCAAAGACGTCATTTTGAGATGCTTCGGGTTCGAATACCACGTTGTAAGTGAAAACACGTGTCTGACCTGATATTTGATCGTCTACCTGCAAGAAATTGCATGCAATTTACTAATTTTTAAGTCAATTTTCAGGAGACAATTAAAGAAAATTACCATGATTTGCCCATCTGCCGGAAAATGCACCACTTGAATGTCTTTCTTTCCAGCTTCTTGCATGGTAAGAGGTCGAACCCTTGAAAGATAATTAAAGAAAATATAATTTTAAAGGTTGTTGACATATTTATGAATAATTTATCCACTTATATATGACCGTGCAATGAATATTTAATATATAAAACCGCTTTATAAAGGAGATATATTATGTTTATAGTTCTAGGAATTAAATTATAAAAAAATTTACTCCCCTCTAAATCAATGAATGAACCGCTTACAACTCTAGGTTATGTATTTATTATAAGTTTAAACTCATAATTTTACTCTTTTATATGTTTGTCCATCCGTCACGCTCTATATATGTAGGGTATGAGTTTACTTAAATGTTTTATGGCACATATCTTTATAGATATGAGATTAATCTGGGAAACTATTTTCGTGTTCCTTCTCCATTTTATGACAACGTGAAAGGCTTGTAAATTGGTTCATTCCGTTGACTTCTATATATTACTTAAAATACTTTTGAAAGAATTCTGTACAGTAAATTGTTTATATATATATTATTATAAAATATAGCCTATATATCGTATATAAGTTATATTATATATAATTTAAATAATTTAGATGAAATATAATCATTGTATCCTTGATAATCGGCATCTTCTATTGATGCAGCATCATCTTCAATGCTAGAAGATGCTGCTCATTTTCTTTAACGAGGTAAGTGATAAATGAATTTAATTCGATAAAATAACGTACTAAATGTTAATTAAAACTTTCATTTATTAATTAAAATATTATTTTATAAATACGTTTAATCATAATCACATTCGATTGTTGATCATCCGCATCCTTTAATGATAGAAACTGGAGATGATAATTGAATTTAATTCGATTAAATAGTCATTTGATATTAATTTAAAGCTTTAATTATTAATTATTTATGTTTAGAATATCGTTTAATATCATCGTATTGATTTTTATTAAGTTAGATAAACAATCGCCTCATATTTCTAATGGCGTGTAATGGTACCAACACGTAACTATCAGACGAAGGTTAATCACATAACCAGATACGAATCTACAATATTAAAAAAATTCAGGATGAAAATGATAATAATAAAAAAACGTCTAAATTACCTGACAACCACATTAATATTATCGTAATCTCCATTAATTTCGTCTGTGTCTGCAGACATTATCGAATCTTCGGAGGCTGCCGTACTCGGCCTAAAAAAAATTCAATATTTTCGTCAATTTTTAATATAAAAATACATCCAAATTGATAAAATTCCATTTAAAGAATGCCATATTGGTGGATAAAAAGTGAAATTATTATTATTTTTTTTAAATTAAAAACAAGCTTTTCAGATGTATAAAATCACGCATCACGCATAGTAGCGTGATACAAAATGCAGTTTAGATTTCCTATTTCGTGAAAGGATTGAAAGGGGTCGTTGAACGGCAACGATTCCCAATAGAGGAAACCCCCCCCTCTCTCTCTGGAGTTCAATGATGCTTGACTCCTTGAAGTAAATAAATTCTTAGAAACAAGTCCATTAAGAATATTTGAGAAAAATGATATCGATAATTCAATGACAGCTTAGATAAGATTAATATTTATATAAATAGAGAAGATCAATCGAGGAGAAGAAAGGAAAAACATAAAAGATAAATGGAAATTGCTCCCGTAAATGTAGCTTTCTTACGTAGTAGATAAGCCTCGTGATGTAAACACGCTACGATTTTATTGTTTAATTTAATTAATATTTAATAATTAATATTAAATATAAACACAAGAAAGTCTCCTCTATCTAATTAAGATTCTCCAACGTACAGTGTAATATATGTAATAAAAAAATTAAATGCAATGTTTATCGTATTTTTATCAAGCTCCACCTTTGTTTGAACTCGCATATCATTTTCTGTACATTTGCACGGTTTGTATTGTAGTTCTTTGACGTTATATCGAGGGAAAAAAACGCGTAAAATCTACTTTTACACAACGTTTACTGATTAAACTGAAAGTATTTAAGGTTTAAATGATTTATAAATGATTAATTTTCTCCTACCTTTGAGCATTTTTCTTCGATATTCGGTGTGAGTTAGACAGTTAATACGACGACAGAATAAGGTCTGCATCGATAAGAACTAAACAGCGAGACTGAGAAACGATTTTTAGATTTAGAACACTGGATATAACAGTTGCAAACTTCACCTATTTCCCATAGTATTCGAGAAAATATACTTATGTGTCAAGGTTGTTTTCATAATATTGAATTTTCATTTTATTTTTACTCCGTTACGTCATTTATCTGGATTAAATTTTAAAAACCAGTAAATTTTTCATTAATAATTAACGAAAATAACTTTAAAACGAGTAAAATAACTCGATATTAATTCATTTTTTAACGGAATGAACGTCATTTTTGTCATATTCCCCCGCTTTTTTATACCGAAAATATTAAAAATACTGCGTTAAATTTAATAAATTTATAAATAAATTAATTATAAGAGTTAAAAAATACATAAAAAATCACATTATGAAGTGTTTTATTTGGTAATTATTACTATTTAAAATAAAATAAAATGTAAAATGCCGCCTGCTGCCGGTAAAAGTGTCTTCACTGCAAGGTCAGTGAGCCGTGCAGGAAAGCCTGAATTAAATCAATCTTCCGAACGTTTTTAACGAATAAATGATAATAAAATTGAGAAAAATAATAGAAAAAATATGTAATAAACTGTCTTTGATAGATTTTTATATGTTAATAATTAAACTGGAATCAATAAATAATTGGAAAAGGCAACTGAGGATTTTTTGGAAGTGAATTACTGAAGTCAATCAGCAACATTTACTTTAAATAAGAGTTGATACAGCGATTTAACAAAAATCTATGGAATCGATAATAAATGTCTGTTGTTCTAAGAAAAATTGACGTAGAAAAACAAATTTCTCTCACCATTTAACTAAATTTCTGAGCTATTTTAGTGAGTGAAATAAATCAATAAATTTAAATTTTTCATTAAAATAAAGGTGAAATGGTTACTAGTTTCTAATTACTTACACCTTTTCCCCGTCTTTTAATTCATTTTTACGCGTAATTTTTATGTTATCTTAAAAAATAATGATATATAATTTTATAAAAAATTAATCTTCAATTTTATATAAGTAAAAAGCTTTTTTTTAGATAAAGAATTCTGCTCTTTAAATTGCATTGCTAAATTTACCATGGATCTATGGCAAATTTAATAGTGTCTATATTTAATTTAATGATACAAAAATGCTTTGAATCGAGAAAACATATGGTAAATTTCTATCCAGATCAAATAATACAAATTGCATTATAGACATATTGATGAGAAGTGAAAATATTCGAAAATTAAATGGAAAAGTGTTAAAGATGATGTTTAGAAACACCTGCAAATAATTCATTTCTACTTCAAAAGTACAGTTCTCTTATTAAATAATAGGTTTGTACCTAAGAATAGCCTCTCTCTACCGATTTTTAGTGATAAATTTTATCACTAATCGGTAGAGAGAGAGGTCTTAATGGGCAAAGTAAATTTTCTCCCCTTTTCAACGTATTTATTCTCGTGAATATCGTGTGTTTAGAAGATGGAAAACGTGTAAAACTAATAACCAAGCTTTTAGTTACATTATACAGACTAAAAGTAAGAGAGGTTATCTAAAACCTACCAGATGAAGAGGATCGGGTAGATCAAAACCTATTGTGAGTGAATAAAATTAGTGATTCGTTGAGGATAAATTGGATCCAACATTATCAAAAATTTAAACGAAACATCCTTCGCAGTATCAAGATTATTAAAATGACAAACTAGTAGACGAGAAGCTGCTTTAAAATCAAGATATAACACTGATAATTCTTAACATGTGTAAGAAAATAAGCTACATACCCATAGTAAACTATTAATTAATCAAGAAGATAAAGGAAGATAAGAGAAGACACGTAATTAGGAGATAAACAAGAGCTGGATCGAAGAGATGGAAGAGGATGAAACACGTCAGGTGTGGAAGAAGTTGAAGATTAGTAAGAAAATAACATTAAAAACCGCTTAAATTATCGCATTTTTCAGTTAATTACTTAAGAAATTTACAGAATTATTCAGAAATTTTAAACCTTTACTACTACGAGCCATATCCAATTAAGTATAAAAAATACTAGCATGTATACTTAATGCAGCAGAGTTATATGAATTAGTAGACATGGCATTAGATATCGGTTGATACTGTTTGTTTTTCTAGAGAATCAATATACACCTGTACACTTAAATTATATAAATATAAATCTGTATGTCAAAATGTGGACTGCCAATTTAACTCTTCCTGTTCATTAAAAATTAATTCCTCCCTCGTACAATCCAGCAACGAGTTTCGTAACTTTCCCGGCGAGATTTAAAATTGTGTGTGATGCCATTTATTGTGGGATTTCAGTAATAATTATAAAATAGCAAAAAGCTTAATTTTAAGAATTTTACGAAAAATTTTAAACGTTAAACACGAGTAGAATGTTTATTAAGTCCGACTCCACTCGAGATACGACACGTTAATCACCCTCTATCTCCCCACCCCCTCGACCTTTAACCACCAAAATTTAACAGCATCGATGCCTCCGATACACAAGCCATCCTGCAAAATTTCGAAAATTTTCAACAAAAGGCACAGGAGTTATTAAGCTTTAAAGTGAGTGAACAAGTATACTAAAGCCCATATTTTGGAGTGTGGAGGGTGGAATTGACGGCCTCTTCACAATCCTGAGTACCTCTATCGTGTGATAACCTTGAGTATTTTGGCTGAGTACTCTTGATTGATCATTCAATGTAATGCCCAGCCCATAATACCCGAAACTCGAAATCCCTGGGGATCTCATTTACTTGTGTTCCATTACAAAATTAAAATATCTCGTCACCTTGGTAAGGTTGCCAGGGAAATATTTCACCTAGGAATAATACAAAAGGTTTATATATATATAT